ATAATATCACACTGTAGGTCCGGCAAACTGCGCTTGTGTGTGTTGTAGGGAGAAGCAGGTGCATTTGGACAGCCTGCAAGCTGTGGCCCAGGCACAGGGGCTGGATCCTCGCGAGAGGCGCAGGCTGCGGCAAGGAGGAGACCCTCACTTCAGCAAAGTGCAGTGAGTAGGCCTCCACAGCAGGTCGAGGCCCTCTTCTCTCGTATCCCTTTCACAGCTGTTCCTTTTTCTTATTTCACCCATCCATCTCCTCACCGCTTCCTCCAATTCAGGGCTGAGCCAGAGCCTATCCTGGCAAGTAACGGGCACAGGGCAGGGCACATCCTGGGCAGGACGCCAGTCCATCACAGGGCAGACACACGAACACACACCCTCGCACCAGGGCCGATTTTCCCAGTAGCCACTTCACCTACCAGTATGCCTTTGGACCGTGGAAGGAAACCCCGGGTCTGGAATTGAACCCAGGCCGCATTTGGCATTTAAGGCAGCAAGTATGATTAAAAAGCAATTGCAATAAGTTACACAAAATGTATGTAAAAATTCAACAAGACTGATACAACTCAACTCTTTTGCATCACACTTTTGCATGGATGCTAGAACTGAAGTGTTTTTATAGTGCCTTTTAAAGCAATCTGTAAAGTCCATTTTTATATCTGTTTTATATCATGTCGAAGGCACCCAAGTGTACAGGCATTTCCTCTAACGAGACCTGACTCTGCTGCTTGTTACAATGACTGACAGACTCAGTCCTAAATTGGAGTATTGGAGTACTGTCAGACTTCCTGTGTGTTAGAACTAAAATCCACTACCCTGGGTGTGAAGGACAGATTTTAGTGTATAATGACAGTTTTCTTATAGAAAGCTCTAGAGCTGAAGCAAAAACATTTTTAATGAAAAAAAATAAAAGAAATTAATCACCCTCCCTCGTCTATAAGAACTTGTGCATGGGAAGTGATAAACTCCCCTGTATTAGCCCTAGAGATTATGAGATCACCATAATCAACAGTTCTTGATTGCCTGCAACTGGATCTGTACCATTATTACAGTCTTTAAACAAAAAACGTATTTTCTTATGTCAGATTATTTATTATTTATTTCAGTATTGTGCACACATTCATGCATTAGTTTCACATTCTTACATACTGTATAGTGTAACATACTTTATTCAACCCGATATGCTTTCTATATCATTTAAGACTACTAGTGCGTTCTCCATTTTGTGTCCTATAATGCTTTAAGTTGTTAAAAGTTTTTTTTTTCACTTAAAAAGTGAACATTTAAGGTGACATCCTGGCAGTGCCAGAATTAGGGTGTGTTTTTGTGGCAACAGGTGTCTAAGAAATTTCTTAGAAACTGTTTGTAAAGCACAATAAAGGCTTACTAAAATGATAGAAAACCACAACTCGGCTAATGTTGTCAATTGTTTTATAACAGCTAACATAATGTTTTAAAAGTTTATATCCCATTAAATACATTTCATATACTGTATCTCCATGTTCACATGGCCAAAAGCCTGCACTTAATCTTCCATTCATCTGAATCCCAGCTGACAGCAACAGTGCCAGCATCTGGTGGACAGAGCTGCCCCTGAGGTGCAGAAAACAAATTCCTTTTAAAATACTTTTAAAGCATAAATCGTCTGTACTTCCACACAGGGTTTACAAGATTAGAAAAAAAAGGCTATAGGCCATTTTCTTAAACAAAATATTGTATATGTTCCAGTTTGTTTGGTGTTGCTATTCCATCTGCTTACTGAATAACACATTCATAAATCTAAAAGATGGTTTGCATGTATGCAGGATTAATGCTGTCATTTTCTCTTACAAATACATCACATACAGTATGGTGCATGCATATGAATGAAGCAGATATAAAAGGATTTCTGCTTATAATGTTCTAAGCACTCCCATTTTGAATGATTGTACTTTCTGTGGACCATAGAGGTTCAGCCAACAGGTCAAGTCACAATAGGATATTTTACTGCATACAGTATATGTATGTAGATCTTTTCTCCCTTCTATAATTTTGAGAAATAGGTTTGAGATACACAAGACATCTAATAACTAATTTAATCCATTACCTAGCCAGCACACTCAACCGTAGCAGCAAGCATAGCCAGTTTTAAGATAGACAATTGTTTTTAAGCTGATTATCATCACAGCTTTCTACATTACTGGTTTTGCAACTGTACAAAATAGGCTTCTAATTGCTTTTATGCAAAGCACTCCTGCTGTAAACAATTAATGCAAACAATCTTTATTACATTAAAGGATAAAATGGTTTTGGGTTCCAGGAGAACAGCCATTGCAAGTGAAGTTCAATTAACCAGCGATCAGTAAGCCCACCTGGGTTGTGATGATAGCAAATACAAATCCTTCAGCACTGATAGCACTGTAATGTATAGAAGATTAATCTAGTTTCATTGGTATCACATGAATTCTGGACCAGAATTGTTCTGAAAGTACAGAAACTTCAGGCAAAGTCTTTTAGCTGGCTTGTTTTCCTTCTATAGCTGTCCTGTACAACTGCATTCCTTCTTACATCTGCTATTCCTTTATACTATTAGCAAACTAATCAAGAACAAAAAGCCTTGCTCTGTAATAATTAGACCTGTTGTTTGAATTGGTGTTTGTAATGAGTCTGCTTTTTAATTAAAAATCGAATTAAAAGATTAATATTTGATCATATAATTAATATACATTAACATTTTTTCATAGGAAAAAAATTACAAGAAAACAGTTTCAAATTTATTTCTAAAGCCCCATTAAATCCTGTTTCAGCAGCATTCCTAGGAAGTATTAATCAGTGCCAGAATATTATTTTATTATTATAATCTTTCTAAATACTGAATCTGATACACACTCATAGCCTTGCACTATAATGCCTAGCGAAGAAAATGAAAGAAAGAGAGCTGTGCTCTAAAGCGAAAGTCGAATTGAGAACTAATGGATATTGGAGAGAGTTTAGAGAGGGTTGTGGCCCCTCAGAAACCTAAAACATCATGTGACAAGACTGGCATGAGTAACATGAGATGAGGTTGCAGTCTTCATAGGGCTGGCATTGTCAGCAGAAGAGAAGTTTTTTAGGGAGAACTAAAGTCTTCCCTCATGCTGTATGTACATTAACCCCTATATGCTTTGTAGGAATGCCGTGAATCAGCTTTATAAACAGAACCAGAAGAGAGCTTTAAAATCAGGACCTGAACAGGACTCAGAAGTAAGAGACTTTTTAAATAAGTTTCAACAACTGTTCTGCATGTTCTGGACTCTCACGTTTTAATTTTCTTACTACATTTTTTTCATGTGACAGGTCAGCTATAGAGAGACAGAAGATGGAACACGGGATGAAAAAGATCAAGGAGGCCCAGAAAATTCAGGTTATTGTCATTTTTTTCTCCTCTTTTACCAATAATATTGCAGCTCTGACAGAATCTCACTGTTAGGAACAGAGCTCTTTCAGACAGTCTCAGAAAACACTCAGTTTGCTCTCACATTGTCTAAAGACATGGCAAATCGTCAGACAAAAATAGCTGAGTTTTAGATTTGAATCTGAAATAAAAGCATCAAAATCACTCATTTTAACAAAAAAATTCCTTTCGCATAATCCCCGTCTCTAACCAGAAAACAAAGTTTAAAAGATTAAATGTTTTGAAATATCTTTTAAGCACCACATATAAGAGAGGGTTTTTGTATTGTGAAAGATCTCCACTTCAATGACCATTGCCTTTTTCTCCCCAAAAAACTTCATTGCAGACACAAACATTACTTATCTAAAGGTCCAAACAAAACAAGGGAAAATATAACCTATACAGGACGGCAACATTTTTCACTTCAATACAAACAATTACAAACAGAGAGCGAGTGGAATCACAGGGTTAGTACAGGCAGCCTGCATAGTAGCTAATTCACAAGGCAGAACGGGATTGAAATGACCTTTATCCCATCCTGGAAAAAAGGTCAATGATCTGCTTCATAGCCTGAGATAATTACAATTAACACTGAAGAGTCTGGCAAAGCTGGGCAGTGGCCGAAAGGACACGATCACAGGTGCAATTGGCAGGAATGAGGATTCTTCACCAGGTTGTAGGCATCTAGTAGGAATGCCCCCCTAAGGCTCACACTGGAGCCATACAGGGCATGCCCTGGCAGACTATTGGAAACCTTGGTTTACACAGGTCACATTGGAAGGACTATATCCTTTATTTGTGAAATGTTCCTGCTTCCCCTTAAAGACAGTCAGGAGTCCGTCTCAGAAGTTAAAATAAGTTTTTATTTCATGCGTACGGGAGTAAAACACACAGAGATGCTCACTGTATTTTTCTCAAACTTATTAAATTAGAACAGTCCTTAAATATTTTTCTGTTATCTATCATGCTTCCCTGTGCTGACCAGATTGGCTTCCTCTTCCCTATTTGCCAAACATAATATCTTTTAACACAATTGCTGACCTAGTTTCGGAGCAAGCGTTCCTATATGACATAGCATAGAAATAAATAGTTGTCCTTGTGTCCAACAGTCTTCCATTCCAGTTCACACCAGTTGAGGACTTGTCTTACAGATACCTTTATAGCTTTCCTAATATCTTGACAGAACAAAAAGAAGTTATTCTCCCAAGTGTTCAGTGGAGAAGGTGGAGGAACTAAGGTGGACAGATGTCAAAACTGACTGCCTAGGCCCCAGAGCTCTTACTCCTGCTCTGTACATTGCAGCTCACCTAATGGAAGAAATAAATTAAGGTTAAATGGGCCTTGAAAGCTACAGCTTGCCTTTCACAGGATGCATTGGCAGGTCACTTTGATTGCCAGAGCCTAGCTGTGTCAGGCATCCCTGTGGTCTATACATTAGTAACAAGCTGCTACTGCAAATAATCCCTTTCACATTTCATTTGTCCAATTCCAGCTGTTCAGGCAGTTCTTGATATTTCAGGACCAAAAATAAAAATCCTGATTGCACTGCCTTGTCTTGAATTTTCCATTACATGGTGCTGTGAACTGGATTCTGTTTAGTACTGGAAAATGCAAAAAGCAAGCAATTGTGAGAAGCAATTATTTTTGAAAGATTGCTTTGCTTTGCTTTTCCTCATGCCTTCATGTTTTTGCACTGCTTTCTTTGAAACAATGAGCACAAGCCCTGATGACAGAGACTGCAACAGTATTCATCACAAACTCTTGTGTGATCAGATATAATGAAACAACTATATTCATCATAGGTGCATGTTTGTAGATGTGCACATACAATTGAATTAAAAGCAATATGAATATAATAAACCAGAGTTCCAGTTTACACTGCCAACAAAGTTTACTACAGAAGATTGTTGAATTAAAACTAAACCTTACACTTACAAGCAGTTGGTTTGGTCTAAACTCACTTGTGTAAGGTTTTTCATTCCTCTTGGAATACCAAAGCTACAGCTAAGGTAGGCATGCAGATTGCTATATACAACTGGGCTTGTTCTCATCAATGCTTTATACTGTTGTGTGTGAACCACAGCTGACAGAGGGGATTTGGAAGGAGGTGAGGAGGAGTTTATCATGGATGATGAGCTCGAGAAGACCCTGGTTGGTTCGCTCTCTGCACTCTCAGAGGAGCAGGTCAGAAAAGTCACATACATTAATACTGTGCAAGAGTTACAGTTCCATTAAGATATATAATGTGCATTGTGCACCACATTCAGAAAAGGGCTTTTTTGTGTTTTGTAAAAGATCTCTTCTGCTGCTTCATCAATGAAAATGGTAAGACTTTCTTACTAAAACCAGAGAGCTAAAGAAGAAAGAAAGTGAATGAAAACAAAGGAAATTAAATCAAAATGTAATACTATGGAAGAGCATTAATGTAATGGAGAACAAAATAATAATTGTTTTTAAATCCAATGTTTCTTTTTTAAATGCAGTGTTATCTTGTCTAAATTCAATCATCGTTTTCTCCTTTGCGCTAATAGGCTTTCTTTTGTATAATTCCACAGGTAACATGTCTTTTTTGCTTAATATCTCCAGCTCCCAACTCTGTTACCCCTCTTTCTTTCTCCCTATTATCTTTGCAGTTCCTTACAGTCCATGACTGTTGTTCTGGTAGTAGGAAATGATCCCTTTATTACACAATACTTCGTTTTGCTGAAGGTTCCATGCTAATGGTTTGACTGTTTCTTTGTTTTTTTAGTTTGGTCTCAGGAGAGCAGCAGAATGCATTGTCAGTACAGCTGGGAAATAATTAGAATAAATACAATACTTCTACAACTATGGATGCATCACAGAAATAAAATATTAAAGATGTGATGGACAATTTACCTCCATGGATCTATTTGGTAGGAGGGGAAATCTAGTCTTGAAAATATAAAGAACATTAATCACTTGTAGTTAGAGCAAACTGGGAGAAAAACATACCCTGATTAGATTACAGAACTGATTTATAAACAGCAGGGTGTCAAGCTAATACATCTTCTGTAGCAGACGGAGTAAGCCATGTTATCTTGAGTGAATGACTCTGTTAGATGATCCATGTAGAAGGCAGTGCTTCTGCGAGGTTTTACTTCCGCTTGCCTTTTGAATATTTATACTCAATCCTCAGAGATCAAAAGGTTGATACCTAAAACATTGCAGTTGGCAGTTCATACAGTTCATTGCCTTTATTTATTTAAGTAAATCTATTGGCGCTTACTATGATGTAACACCGATTATTCATTTGTTGTCAGGAAGTAAAGATTTGTCTTTTCATGGAGATCTGTGCCATTAGCACCTTTCATATAGTTTTGTGCTCAAAGGAGCTGACAGGGGATTTCAGTATCCTTATACCAAAAGGGTATGAATTTTAAAAGTTTGGAAAAAAGTGAAAATATCAGTCATAGCATTCCCTGGGCCATAAATGACAGCTTTCTGCTTGGACAGAAACACAAACCTCTCAATCACAATATCTGTGGAGTCATTACCATGCACGTAAAACTATAAAGACATGAATCAAACATGCCATTTCTCCAGATTCTTTAGGTAAAAAAAAAATCCGCTTATCCAGACAATGGTAATCATGGCTGAACTTAATCACTCTCTAAAGCCTTCCTATCTGTCATTTCTTTAATAACCCTCTTCCAAAGATGAGAGACTGAATAATTTTGGGGCCAGGGTTTGTCTGCTATATAGATATGACTAATTGCATTTCCTGGGAGTATCTTCAATTAAAACTAAAAACCTTGGACATCAAAATTCAGAAAAACGTATCCGCAATGACCCCTTCTGAAGTTGTTTAAATAATGTGCTATTAAATAATCAGCATTTATAGAGCTGAATTGCCTCTAACTACAGTGTAATTTCCTTTTTTAAAATTGAATACATGCTGCTTTCTGGTTAAATTGGGAATGGAAGATTCCAATAGCTATTCACTTTTTTAAGGCTGGAGTTTAAAACAGAAAGGATGCGTGTGAGATAGGGGCCTGCAGAAAAATAATTGAGGAACAAAAGTTAATAAGTGGATCCTATCTTTTTATTAGTTTTTTTCCATGGGTTTTCAACTAAAATCTTGGGAAAAATCTAAGTCACCAGTAATAACCCAATCTGCAGCGTTTATGCCAACCCTATCAATTGAGACTGAAGGCTACCTTTAACCACATACTGATTTTTTCATATACTGTACATCCAAACTTTATCACCAATTATAAACAGCAGTTTTAATTCTTGTATGACATTTTAGCTTTTACAATTATGTTATAAATGGGAGTTTCATGGCATAGCGGGTAAGCCTCTAGGCTCCAATGGGTGGGTCATGGGTTGAAGTCCCTACTGCTGCTGTCACGCCCTCTGCAGCCAGAGGGCGCTCCTTCTCTGTCCTGTCTTTCATTTCCGGTTCTTTGCTGTCCTTCCGGTGTTGCTCTCTCCCTCTGGGACTATATATTTCCGGGTCTTGCACTCCGCCCCTCGCTCAGCATTGACGTGCGGATGTCCTGAGACCCGCCTAGCACCAGGGCGCCCCACGTCCGCTCCCTGAGGGCATAGGTTTCTATACGGCACTCCTGAACTCTTTGCACTAACGAGCCAGGGCCTTTAACCCATTCCGCCGCTACGCATATGGGTCTCTTTCCGCTCTCCTGCCTCTCCACGGTTCGTCCCGTTTTTCAGACATCCGTGACAGCTGCACCTTTGAGCACAATACTTTACCCCACTTGCTCCAGTCCACCCAGCTGTATAAGTGGGCATCAGCATGGTTGGGGTTAAGCTCGGAGATGGACTGGCATGTTGAGTCACATGCTTACTAGTGCACTTAATGCTACTGAAATCAGAGTGAGCTGTATGGCTTTATGGGTAAGGGCCTTGCCCTTATCTCACACTGTTATAGCAGGGTCATTATCCATGCCAGGACCCCTGGGATACAGAGGCTGGATCCAGGGAACTGTATGGGTTGAGATTTACACCAGATGGTGTGTCTCTGGTGGCTAGGAATCCTGATATCCATCTCCACCAGGAGACATCTTCCACATCATCTTTTGCCAACACCCACAGGATGGTTTTTAAATTGGGGCTCTCCTTATGTGGGCTTCTCCTGTTGTTGTATTCATATCAGGGATATTCGTTATCATTGCACATCTGTTAGTGCTCAGTTTTCTCTCTCATTCAACACTGTGTCTCAAAATAGGGAAATGATGCCAGTTCTTTTGTGTTCTAAAACATCTTGAAAACCCACTGGAACAGACTTGTGTCTCATTATTATTTTTGTATAACTTTCCATTGTATAAGTACATGGAGCAATCACACTGTTACAATTCATGATAGGGCAAACAGAAATTAAATCTATAAGACAACAATAAGGCTAGCAAAAACTGGAAAAGCTATACAAATGCTGTGTAAACATAATGAAATAATAAGTATCCAGATAGCAGAGAAACAGAGCAATAATGTAATGTAATGGATTCCACGTTTCTATAATTATATACTACAGTGCTTGGAAAATCAGAATGTATAAAAGCTCTAGGAGGTGAAAGCCCCAGAGCACACCAGGAAAGACTCATTTTCAAAAGCCCCCCTCCCACACAGCTGCTCCACATTTCCTTTGTCCTACCTCTTATTCTTTTGCAACCACTGGCTTTTATGCTGCAGGTGCAATCACTCAGGGTTAGCTTAGGCTAATGTAATAGTTTGCATTTCTCCCTGAAATTTCATGCTTTTCCTAACGAAGAGAAGTACAATAATGGGACAGTACGGTAGGTGGACATTATTAAGCGTGTGTGGTTATGCTTCAGATACTGTGCACCACACCAGGCCTGTAAAAAATCGGAACACATTTTTTCATTAATTTCATAAAATATTTTTGCAGTATTTATGGGAGAGATCCCCAAATGGCTAAATTTGACGTACTGCACACTAACAAAATGAATAGATTTAATGAAGCACTGAGCAACAGGAAATCTTCTACCAGCAGCTAATGTTCCTGTGCAGGGATGCCCATCTCCCCATCTCCTCTACAGCTGATAGCAGGTGAATGTTGTTTTTTTCTCTGATTGCAGAGCAGCACTCTCCGTGCCTATCAGAGCTGTTTATTAAAATTCCTGGAATCCAGCACCACAGGTCAGTCCTCAGGTATCCACTGAGTTACACTTTAAGACTCTTATAAGGTAGGTACAGAAAGAAAAATATGGGAAATTGCATTAATTGTTGGTAATGATTAATGTTTGGAAATACTGGAAAACCTGCAAACCTTTTCTTCCCTAGGCAAGTCCATGTTGATTTCTTCTGATAAATTCTTCATAACTGTGCTTCTCTCTGCTATAGTGCATAATGGTTTGATATAATTCATCACGCCAGATTATGTATGAATATACTGTTAAGATGCTCCCCTCTGTTCTACTGTAGGATTCCTTCAACATGTCCCAGTTATGTTTTGTCATGGTTTGAAACTATGCTCTGTGAAGTTGCTAAATGTAAGGCTACCTATAAACTGATTGTTTATAACTGAGGTACATGAAAATAAAAGAAAAAAGGATCCAAACTAAGTTTATTTTCTACAGTGTCCAAGTAAGCATGTTTTTTTTTTATGTCTGGCCTTTGTCTTCTCAAGAAAAAAAACAATTTCCATGGTTCAATCTACAGAAGCAAGCAGCAAGGAAAATATATGCAAATTCCAGGGTGATAAAAACACTTTCAACGTACAAGTGGAAGTGGTTATCATGAAGTAAGAGGTGCTTTATGGGATCAGACCCAAAACGCTTGTGTTTTGAGATGAGAACACGAAACCTGCTGTGTGAAATACCATTATATAGGGCTTTATCCATGTTTCAATGTTATATTGGGCCACTTTGCAGTTTAAATGTAGGGCTGCAAAGGTAAATGAGACATACTGTAGAACAATTGGTACAGTAGCTCCGCTTTTCCAGCTTTTACCATAATATAAACTATGTTCACATATAAAGCCATTTACTAAAGCAGAAATCTATTATGGTGAAAGGAAGCAATGCAGACAGTGTGGCTTTTTGTTTCTCAGCACTTGCAATGCAGGCTCTATAGTTCAATCACTGAGATATGAGATTAGTTTTAGCAGCCCTTGGATGAGGGGGATGTCTGAGTAATAATACTGAGAAACATCTGGCTGTGTCTGTGTTTAAAAGCAAATCTTAATGTAATGTTCTCTTCTTTGACAAAGAAATAACAGAGTACCTTTGAATTAGAAACGTATTAGAAGCAAATTGTTTGAGCCAGCCTAAATACAGTAATATGCTAGTCAGTTTGAGATCAAGAGAACAGGAGCTGAACTTGACGAGGCAATTTCAGCAGGGCAAAATTCTAGTAGGGCTAAGCAGGTGCAAATTTTTTATTTATTCCATTACAGCTGACCAAATCTCAAAAATGCATACTTAATATGCACTTCATTCACTGGGATGCTGCTCGAAGGAACTGCAATAATGTCTTCTACACTTTAGATAGCAATAGCTATGTACCAAACAGATATTACTTTTGACACGAGTATTACTCAGGGTTCACTGATTATTGCCCCAATGAAACACAATAGATAGCATTGCAGGCTCAGACCTTTACTCGTGAAAGGAATTACTCTAAAGACCCCACAGTTGCCTCTTTCTGAGTAGGATTCATTTATCTCACCTAATAGCCAATGTGCCACAATTCCCTGAAGAACACTACAGAAAGGATGCAATTAGTGCCCTCCTTTCCTCCCTCCTTTCACTCCCTGTGCCTGAAACAAGGGTGTACAGCTAGTTTCCTTTAAAACACTGAGGATTTGAGTCAAATGAAACACAAGATTGCTGATCCAAATACAATATAATTTTGTCCATCCATTGAGATTTCCTTTACAAAAGTCATAGAGTCTATCCCTTTGATACACAGGTGTCTCAGAAACGTAATACACCCTGCTGTAATGCTGACACTAGAAAAGAACTGAGCCTCACATTCTCCCTCCTCAGTGTGTAAACTGGCCAAGAAGACTAATTCCAGTTTTTACCACTGCAGAACTCTTCCTTGTCAAGATCTGCCAGAAAAAAATCACATTCCCTCAGCTGTGTGTTCACATAATGTTAGCTGATATGTGCTTTGCAGCTAATTTCTCCCAAGACAGAAAATTAGCTCTGAGTAAATTCAAATGCAAAAAAGATCTTTATTCTCAGAAGAAGGGAGAATTCCTCCTGCAAATTATGACACTTATGATTCACCTCATTGCAGAGTTTAGGCAACACTTTTCTCATTTACTTCATTTCTTTTTCCTTCAGATTCAAAATAAAATGATCAGTGACTATGCAGATAAAAACAACATCGCCTCATCTGTGCTGCAATAAAAACAAAATAATTGTATATAATTTTTGTAATATTTTCTCCAGTCTAACACACATTGGATAAAACTTGTAAACATTTACTGGTAATAAATATTTAAAAACTACCAAGCAGCAGTTTTAGTCCAATCTAATGTACTGTAATTGTTTTAATAAATCACAGAACAATGCCTTTGGGTGACAATAATTAGTGCATATTCTGCACTGTATTTGAATTAGATCTGTTCTTGCTATGTGACATTCATCCTTATGGAACCTGACCAAAATGCATAATACTGTGTTTATCCCTTCACAGCTCATTGAGTTCTCTCTCGAATTTGTCTGTATGTTTGAATGCAGATGATGATCAAGAAAATAGCCTCACAGAGACAAACTTGGACGAGACTATAAGTTCACTCATTGAATCCACAATCAAAGACCCTTAACGGTGAGTACAAAAAATAATGACACATTTAAGTGTTTTTTCCATTTGTTTTGGTGAGGATTTAGCCATGATTAGATTACATTTGTAGATAATAATGCTGAGAATTAAGTTTTAGTATGTAATACAATAATACAAAAGCTGTCCTGGAGATGTCACGTGCGTGTAGTAGAACTGTATGTTTCAGATATTGCAAGGGGTCTTCAATTTTCACTAGGTCCCTTTAGTGAAAACCCTTACAATATTTTTTTAAAAGTGCTTCCCCATGCTCATTCATATTTCTTATTTTATACCACCGTGTCATTTCATTTTGAGCCATCGCACCAGTTCAATTCAGGCATGTAGCAGAAGTGAGACTGAAATAAAAAATGAAATAAAAGACTGCATTCTTCTGGACCTGTTGTGCGAGCCAGAGAAGTAATCAATGCTTTTTTTCCCCACAAGTAAAACTCCAGAAGTTCATTCCATTCAGGTGGTCTTCTGTATTTTTCCAACAAACCACTTTTCCTAGAGCTGCCAGTGTTGCTATAGGAACAGGAAAATCCCACAATGTGCTTCCAGTCCTGATCATGTTATCTCTATGAACTCATTGGGGCGCCAAGAGCTAACACATACGTGAAAAATCTGAATATCACTTCCAACCAGCAAATGTTGCCAGATACTATGAGGAAACGTCAACACCAATCAAATGGAATTACACAAAGAATGGAAAGCATTCCACTTGACACTTTTCTTTTTTCCTTAACTCACATAGAACAGCTAGAGTCTAAAAGCTATTCTAAGTAAAGCTTCTCAGTCATTGAAATGATTGTGTGGTAGTTTCCACCCTTCTGAAGGCAGCAGGATTTTGACAGCTAGTCAAACATCATCACTATGTAATACTCACAAAGATGTGCAAAGAGAATCAGCGAGTTCAGATTTTTTACACTTTTATTTTAAATTTATCTCAAGCAGTAAGAATAAACCAATGTTGCTTTATGTTAAAAATCAAATGGCCATGGTACTTGCTGAATAACAGAAAATTCTGAAAGATCTCCTTTGTCAGGTGACCTCCAGAGAGATTTGCTCACTTTGCTGACCACGAAAAAGACATTGTGCAATGCACTTACTGTACAGTATCTTTTCCCTTTATCAGCTATGGACCCATAACCATAAAAGGGTGTCAATTTTATTGTCTTTTAGGCACAGAGTCAAAAATGAGTCTCAGTGCAGTTTTGAGCCCGAGATTCACCAATTAACTATACCCTTACCACTAAAAGGGTAAAAGTTAGGAAGTACTCAGCAAAAGGAAGATCTAAATGGAGTTTACAATAAAAAGTGTGGGAGGGATGACAACAGCCAAGTTCAATCTGACTCAGCTCTCAGCAATTCACAATCACTCCTGTCATTTCCTCACCTAAAACATTATCAATAATACATGTAATGCCCTTCTTCATGTCACGCATGTTTTTTTGCATCATACCTCCACCCCATCTGCACCTCTGCAGCTGCCCTTTGGTCACTCCTCACTCATGGGGGTCCCAGCCTCTTCATCCTGTGTCCAGGGGGTCAGTCCTCAGCCAAGTGTGTTAAACCAGATTTTGACTAAAATCCTCCATAATTCTTTCAGTACACTTAACCCTTGGTTTCTGTTATTCGTAGTGAAACAATTACTATAATCATGGAAGCATATAATGACAATCAGTCTACTTTAACAGTCATGATAAAACTGTAGAATAAATCTTTACCTGTCTGTGTGTCCCATTTTCTCCTCCTTATTACTAATTTTGAGACCTCTCAGCATCCTGTATCATTTTCCTGAAGCACTGATCAATATTCAGAACAAACTGAAGAAATAATTCTTTAGCCTCCTCTCAAAACCATAACAGATATTTTCACTCATGTATGCCCCTGATTTTATTCTGAAAATAATTTATGTAACTTATGTTGCACACCTGAGAAGATCCAGTTGTTTTGAAAAGTAGTGAAGCAGTAATTTTTGGGCTTTAGCCTAATTTAGAGACTGAATCAAGATTTTATTCATTTATAGGTAAGTTGGAGCATTTTTTTGCAAAGGAAAAGAGTTTCAAACACTGTCCTGCAAATTGTGTTCCTAATGTACAAAAGACCAACAGGGTGGGAGTTTTGTATGTGCTATGTTTGTGTGATGTGGCTGTTTGCAGCACATCTTTACAAATTATAAATCATTGAAAATAGATCAATACATTTAAGTATTCTATACAGTCGCTTGCAGAGCAGCCACCCAAGTAATTAGGGTCTAATTCTTTACTTCTTGTCATACACCATTGAAAAGTTAATATACTAGAGGTATGTACACCAGGACCATTTGTTTCAAACACTTTTTTAAATAAAAAAGTTTTTAAAAATGAAATATGTATGAATATATACAAATAAAATTATTGAATAGCTAAAAGTCTATTTTTAGATTTTCATCCATTTTATCTGAATGTTGTCAAGTTATATCTTAATATCACTGTATAATACTGAAGGGTTTACCCATTGGCCTAATTAGAGTACTGGAAAACCATTTTGATCTTTGAAATGGTTAAAAATTCATTTCAGACTTATTTTTGTATATTTTTGCTAGCTATATTCCTGTAGGGGGGTGGCACAGTGGTGCAGTGGTTTGCATTACTGCTTTGCAGCACTGAACCCCAGGGCTCAATTCTCCACGTGGGGTTTTATCTGTGTGGACTTTGTACTGTATGTTCTCCTGTGTTCGCATGAGTTTCCCCCAGATGCTCCGGTTTTCAAAAACACACTTGTAGGTTAAGTGGCTTCTGGAAAAATTGGCCCTGGATGTGAGTGTGCATTTCTGTGTTTGTCTGCCTGATAATGGACTGACGTCCCATCCATGGTGTACCCTGCATCACACCCATTGCTTGCTGGGATGGGCTCCAGCTCCCCCATGACCTTAAATTGGAAGGTTAAGAAGTGGATGGATGTTTTCCGCATCATGTTGGCGCAGTGGTTAGCATGGCTGTTTCACAACGCTGGGGTCCCGAGTTCAATTCCTGGTGTGATTTCTGCATAGAAATTGTCTGTTTCCATCTTGTTTGTGTGGGTTTCCTCCAGGTGCTCTGGTTTCCTGCCAGAGTCCACAGACATAGCAGTAGGATAATTGGTTTCTGGGAAAATCGGTCCTATTGTGAGTGTATGCGTGTTTTCTCTTTGTGTCTTGTGAATGACTCATAACCCATCTAGAGTATATCCTGCCTTCTGCCAATTGCTTGCTGGGATATGCTGTGGCTCCCCTGTGACCCTTTATTGGATAAAATGATCAGAAAATGGATGGATGTTCCTGTATCTGTTGTGTGCTGTAACTTGTCTCCTGAAATCTGTGTAGAATCTGTAATTTTGAAGGGCTGTGCTATTCGATTTCATTGCACCTTTGTCTGCCACCAGATAATCAGAGATCATCACTGAGCACATTAAATAATAACAGTTTTCAGGCAATTTTAACTTCATCCATATTACTTTAGGAGATGTTTTATTAATTTACCCATCCCTAATGAATTCATTGGAAGATAGCAATTAGCAAGAAAAACCTAAAACTAACGGATTCTGGTGTATACAAATCCACATTGAATTTTTCTGCCCTCTGGGGCTTGAAGGATCAACTGTTCTGACCTTATTACTTCTCCTCCGTAGTGTATTGTAAAAACAAGCTTAAAATTATTGACACTTCAGTGCGTCATAATACAATTTTTCCCTGAAGAACAAAGAGACATACATGAAGTATTGACTTCAGCTTTCATACACAGGAGAAACAAGTTATGCAAAGCTAAAGTCAAAATGCAAAACTGTTTTCTGTTGCCTAATATATTTATGTGGTTACAGAAGATACCCTTAGGAGATGTTTCTTAGCTGAGGTGATATTCAACCATATTTGTAGGAAGCTAAAAGGATCCAAACTCTTGTATATTTTTATTATTTATGCCAAAAACAATATCTAGATCTGGCTGTCTGGATCTTTGCCTAACAATAACAAAACAAATATAAAAATTCATTTTTTATAGTAGAAAGAGTTCCATGAATAATGAACTATATACAGTACATAGGTTTTAGGCAAGAGAAAGTACATATGAGCACATGCATAGTTGTGACAGAGTGCTTGTTATTTTTCTTTCTCTTACAATGAGAAATGCTCCAATATTTCCCTCTACCCTTCTGGTATGTTTGAGAGTGTGTATGTGATACGAATGAAGTGTGAATGATACTTACCCTTTTTGTTGTTCTCCATTGGAGTATTGTGTTGTGTTGGACAACATGGCCACCAGCCACAAGTCTTCTGTTTGTAGTTTGTAGTTTCCCACACTGCCACATCAGCAGTACTAAAAACACTGCTGATCTTAAAGGTTACTAGTAGGCCATCTATAAATAACTAATGTATGTTTATTTGTTTGGTTTAAATGTATAAAAGCTGTTGCATGACTTTGTTAAACTTTACAGGCTACTCTGGATTTGTATTAAGTACTTTATTTGTTTAAAAATTGTCCACCAGATATGAGTGAGTCCCTTTAAGAGAGAAGGGCCCTGGGATAGGAGGGGCTATAAAAGGGACTGGGAGGGCTCAGTAGGGAGGAGGGTGTCTTGGAGGAAAGGTGTGGAGAGTTCTCCTGTGAGGGTTGTTTTTTTTTTTGTTATCCCTATTTTAATGGCAATAAATCCAGTTTTGTTTGCATTTGAAGGCTGCTGCGTGGGAGTTTCTTTTCTTTTGAGCCAAACCTGGTCACTCGGCCGGTGACAATACTGTTATTTATATTTTAAATTCATTTATATTTATTTAAAAATAAATTATTTCTTTTTTAGTAACTCTATTTTAGTTATTTATATTTTAAATAATGACAACGTAGGTCTGTTAATTGTTTTAGTAGTATTGTCCCCTTGGATAACAAAATTCAGAGGTCATTTCATATAAACACTTGGTGCAAACTGGTATTTGTGTTGCCTTAAAACTACAAAAATGGTTTGATTAAGAAATTGTGTTGGAACGAATACGGCCAACACACAGGTTGTACGAGCCGGTTGCAGTGCAGTGACGGCGCCGCCCTCCACTCCCCTGCGAGCTTGGCCACCCGGACTGAGGAAGGTCTTCTTTAGCTCAGCTGGCAATACCCCTTCTAAGCCACACCATTGACTGGGGCAGGAGCGGCAAGGGCACAAGCCCGAGAACCCGAATTCTCTATGGTATAAATACCCATTGAGAAATCGTCATTTTAATTAGTGCAAGAAGAGTAGAAGACATAACTGTGTAATAATAAAGACTCCCTCTATCTATCAGCGGAATTGAAGGAGGCCTGCCTGTTGGAGACGTTGCAGAGAGAAGATGCTCTGCGTCAGCAGTCAGCAGACTACTCCAGAGAGACTCTCTCTGTGAGGGACAAGCCTGTTCTGGGAGGTTGGAAGAAGGATGCCACACTGGCCCAACTGTTCATCAGATTGATCTGTCAGCAAAATTGTTTTCAGGCAGTAACGGTGAAATAACCTATACATTAACAGAATTCCTGTAGCTTTTTTGGCTGTAGGAAAATAATCTTGTCTGATGTTCATTGTCTGACCCAGGATAACATATTGTCAGCTATATACTGGCAAACATGTAATTGCCATCTTCTGTAAAGAAGATAAAGGATACTGCTGAGGTGGCAGCAGAAAGGGGTCAAATATTTAATTTACTGATAAATGCCGTTTCTTTCTTGACAGATCTGATGGAAGACAAATAGTGTGGAGACGTCATGGTGAGCAAAATACTGGCTGTTGTGTTTTTCCAAGACAAACCAGTTGAACTGTGGAAGGGTGACAATGTAGGAAGGAATCTCTAACAGGTCCTTGGTGAAGATTAGTGGCGGCCACTGACATTTTCATTTTTAAAACTTCTTTTCAATTTGTTGCATTTATGAGTGATAGTTTCCTTTGATGCTTAGTATATATTTAAACTTTCATTTAATCAACCAGGCCTCAGTATTTGTTTTTTGTGATTTGTTTTTACTAATTGGCTCAGTTAACTACTGGCTCTTAGATGAGTTAAAATGAGAATACCCATATGCAGGGGAAAAGTAAAACGTACTAAATAACTTGAACGGTTCTCACATTCACCTACAGGATAGAACTCTTTGTGAAATTCCTTACCTTCTATTTTGAACCCCATGTCTGTGGATTGATAAGGTAATACATGGCAGGATAGAAATTAGGGGAAATTATTTCAGTTTATTGACTTACTGTACATGGTAGACACAGTGACTATAAAGTGCCATAAACTGAGCAGTCTTTCAGTCTTATTGAAATGCGTAATTACTAAACAGACTTTGACATTTCATGCTGTATCAGGCAAGTTAGGTTAATTAAAATCCTGGCTTTGGGGAAAGTGTAATTCATTCTTACTGAAATCTACAAACATGCACTCGGTGAGCCTCACATACACTGCTTGTAGAGATAGCTACGTGACGCAAATCATTGTATCAGCTCAAATTGAGTTTAAATTAAAACATCAAAGGGCGTAGGTGAAACATACGTGACTAATGGTGTTTAATTTTACCTTAAAGTTTGCAGTCATCTTTAAGGCCTTTGAAATATTAATTCACAGTATTTGACCCCTAACTGCTTCACATTATCTCTAAGTTGCTTGTCATTAATATCCTGTAGATGCCGAGTGTTTTGATTTTACAGATCTGGATGTGTGACGTGCCTCTGCAAGTGATCTTTTCTGTGTTAGGCAGTCTTGTGGCCTATTGAATTATTCATGGAAAATCAAAGACCGTTAAAACTTATTTTTTACAGGTGCACATCTTGAGATTTTTCAAGGCCATTCTAAATTCTCAAAATGTTTTCAATTCCTTGTTTAATTGGAGTTACATAAACAACTCGTGTTTCTATGGATTTTGTTAGCACAAATTTGAACCATTATTTAATACAGCTCAACTCATCTTCATATAGTTTTGTGCTTGTTTTGTATTATCAATAATGAAAACTAATGTATATTTACAGCTTTCCAATTTTTATCTCAATTTGGTTGTTTGGTGCCAGTTCCCCATTATAATGAAACTAACAATATTATTGGGAAATTCTTCAATTTATAAAAATGATCCTGTCATAGTTATTTATACTAGGATCAATCCCAGACTACTAAAATTACATTATGCTTTAGGATATTTCCTTTGTCAAAGATGATACACACCAGAATACAGAAAATAATCATATGAGCAGATTTTATTTGCTTTGTCAGTCTCAAATACATTCTTCCTCTCTTAACAAGCTCTAAATGAGGAGCGAAATAATCAAATATCTCCTCAAAGCTAAATAAAATTGAATTTAATGCCAAATACACAAGTGCTGTAAGTGCTCAACATATAGTGATCAACATATAATGCCTTTTTTAAATAATGTTTATATTTTTATAGTGTCTTCCAAACTAGTGTCTTCCAAAAGCATCAGAACTGCAAAATCAATAGAATATTCATTGTAATGTTGAGTTCCAATCGCATGCATGGATTTGATCATTTGATTACAACAAAATCATACACTAGAGTATAAGTTTAGTACATATTATATTGTAACTCTCATGGTTACGCATACAAATTTCTTGACCTAAAACACTTTGCTGTCACAATACATTTGGAGGACAATGTATTGCTTTTTAAATTCAGACCCTCCTCTTAGTTCTAACAGCTTATAGCAGATTTGTTTTATCTGTTCAGCCAGGAAGGTTGAAACAGTAGACTGGTAATGTGGAGCACTCCTCTCTCCCAGTAACTATTGCACCTGACTCCTCTTCCACTGCTTTCACAAAAAAGTACCTTTTGTTCAAAAACAGGTTTTTGATCCCTACAACACAAAAGGTATCACAAAACCAAGTATGTGTTACTACAGTATATATATATAGATAAATAATGATACACTTTGTATTAAATCTAATGTAGCACAGTCTGGGAAATTTAACTTTTTTATAGACTATATAGTATCTATATACAAGTAACTGTATATAGTTACAGATATTTTTCTATCTATATCCTTATTGAAAAAATCATGAATGAAAGAAATAAACTGGAGACAGGCATCTCTAATATATCACATCTAATGGATGTGTGATACTGTATATTGTAACTTCTACTAGAAAATTAGCACAGCTGAGCTGCATTCAGCTGCATTCATCTGCATAGTCCATAATGTTGAGACGAGACCGTCGCGTTAAGGGGACCAAAGCTAATTATGTTGACATCATATTTAAGTTACATTAAATAATTATATTAGATCTCACTTTTTCACAAGAGTCTGTGCATGTAGGGAGCATAAATAGGGATACTGCAGTCTGTGGTGAATAGAAGTCCAGGTCAAAATGGGAACAATATTCCAATAAAATGGTATCCCTCATTTGCCCAAAGTTGTCCACTCCCTCCCTTCAAAAACTATAAAAAATAATGTACATTTGGAAAATTACAACATAAAATGTAGGCCAAAAGAATTGCATTAAAGTTTAAAATATGAATGTTCAAAGAAATTAAGTTAAAGGTTTGCACCCCTCCTGCCTGAAAAATATTTACAAAACACAAATTTACTTTTTTTTTACTATTCCTATTTTCATGTATTGCCACCTAAACCATGCATGTCGAGTGGTATACATTTGTGCTATTAAGAAAAGAAAAAATGGTAGCAAGGGGCTTTGGTAAGCATGATACAGGAACAAAATGAGTTTTTGTTCTTTGATCACCTCATATATTTTGGAAAAATTCAATTCCACCTTCTTTATTTGCTGAAATATCAAATCAATGCTTCTGGGTTCCCTTACAAGACCCCATAAACTATAAATTGTCTTCCCAGATTCCATTGCTAATCATCTCCTCCTACTTAATCCACCCCCAGACTCTGGGCTCTAACTCCCTGTATAATATTATAATTATATATACTGTGTCCAATGTTGCAGTGTTATCCTGTTTCCCATTCAAATGAAAAATCCAACTCTTGTTAATTCATTCCCAAGCTCAGCTATTAACTTTGAGCATGTTGTTGAGTACAGCACCGACATGATGGAGTCACAGTCTGATACCAAAGTTCTTGGCCATCTGAGGTACAGTGACAAAGCAAGTGGCTGTTGGGGTTACTGTAAAAAAAAAGACACCTAATGGTCAGGAGGTCACTAGTTCAAGTTAGAGTGGATAGGGCAAATCTCACAGTCAGTTAATATATGACTTGTACGTCACCTGCTTCTAAAGATTGGTAGCATCTGCAAGTTATTAGGCATGTAATATGCCTTAATTAAGAGAGCCCTTTTAACAGTAACCAGAGACTGATCCTGCATAATCTCTAAATTATTTAATGTAACTAATAAATAAATAATAAATTAGATTCAAATTATTAGAAGGCTTTAGAAATTTGTAACGTGATAGTGTTGTAAAAAAGCCTGTTGGATTGGGGCTCTTTGGAAACAAGGCTGGAGACCCCTGTACTAGCGAAAGGGTGCATTATTGGAAACAGGCATTGTAAATGAAACCTTATTGGGCAATACTGAAGTGGTATACTGTACATAACATCATAACTAACATTTGATATATAATTGTAATATTATAATTTGGTCATGGTGCATGGAGCTATTTAAATCATGAAATAGTTTGTGTACTCATCCTCAAACAGAACTCATCAACAGCTGAATTACAAAGTGATAAAGAAAATCTGTTACAAAATCAAAATCCTTCATAGCTGTTGCATTGACATTTTATGTAACAGACATACTGAAGCATGGGAAATTTTTTAGGCAAGTTAACTTGAGTGATCATCGTGGAGGGTTCCAATTTCTGCGGCATACTGATGGCACAAAGGTTCATTAATTTAACCATTTAACAGTTAATCACATTATCTGCACCTGACCGTCTCACTAATAAGGTAACCTAGTATGAATGCAACAGCCAAGTTCACTTGAGTGTCTTAATTAAGAATAAAAAAGACACCTAAGACTTTCAATGACAGTGTCATCACAACCAACCAGCACTGCCAGTATCACTCTTGGGTTTGAGTCTGTGTTTGAGCGGTCTGTCCTTGTCTTGCAGGATCCTAGATCTAAAGGTGCTCATTTCTCAGGGAAGACTGCACAAGACTCCTCAAGTCAATGGCGCTTCAATAGGTGGTATTCACTCAAGTCACTGTAGTTTCTCTTCAGTAATGTGACAATCTTAAGTCAACAGGACCAGGAGAATCCCACTCAGTTACTACAGGTCTCCCATTTGCTACATTCTCTTAACTGAGACTTTCACACAAGTTGTAGTGGGTGGGACATTCGCATTAAAAACCCTACTCTGTCACCTCATTCTCACTAAGGACTATTAGCATCCAGTACATTATCTCAACTTTAGCTCAACTGGCTGACCCTGTTTGGCCAGAGACAATACTCTTAAAAAGCTGAACCCCTGACAGCAGCAGCCAGTTTGCATTTTTCCCATTAATTACATAATCCATGACCACTAGCATGGCTGCTGATGTTAAAGCCAAGGAGTACTCAAGATTCAGCCAGCATTATCTGGACAAGGGGAGAGCACACTACTGCACCACCCACTAGTGATACTCAACTCCAACAACTCCGGCTCAGGAAACCACCCAATATTCTGCAGTACACCAAAATCCATTGAACCTGGCATACAAACTAACCAACCTCCTCCTGTCCAGCAGCTGAGAAGCACCTCAGGATTTAAGGTGTATTAGTACTCTGTACTCACCAAGTCTCACAGATCTGCAGCTCAGCTTAGTGTAGCCAATCAGTGCAGCTGTGACTCATTCCACAGCTTCTTTCAATGAGCAGTTAGCTTTCTTGACAAGCATCCTTTATTTTTATTTTTAAAAACAAAGTGGTTTATTGTGATACTCATTCTATATAGTAGTTTTAATTGTTGAGCAGGTTTTCTATAATGTGAGTATGAATTATTTTCTTCTAGTTTAGTCATCAATGTCTGTCTGTGAATATGTTACAGAGGCTATCCTTTGACTAAATTGTTTTCTTATAATGAATCTACAGTATGTAGTCTTTCACTATATTAATGTTATGTCTGCAAGAAATTAAATTATAGAAATAAAAAATAACTTCTGTGTACCAGAATGACACCTTCTCGTCTATCATTAAAGAAAATTACATTTTAATCAGTTCTGTCTTCTCAAGGCAGCTTCACCACACAGTCATGAAAAAAGGGTGTTTTTTCATAATTGATTTTCATTCATTGAGATAGTGAATGGGTGTATCAGGTTATACATGCAAACTCACGTGTTATGTAGGAAGCACTGATGCAAAAATCAAAATCAAATGGCAATAAATACTAAATCTTTATTTAGTTTTTTTCTGTTAAAAACACAGAAAATATACAGAATTGTTTTTTTTTCTTTTTCACAGACAAATACAACAATGCAAACACTGTCATGCACTTGGTTTGTATAAACATTTTACCTAAATGCCAAGAAAGGAATGCATTAAAAGAGCAGGGCTTGTGCACAGCGGGCTCGTATCCTCAGCATATTATACTGAAAAAGAATGGACAACACATTTAAATCACAGATAAGTAAGCATGCAATAAAATTGTTTTCCATCTTCATTCCATTTAATTTTCATTTCAGAATTTCACTGCAAATACCCACGGCTAGACCTTTACCCTGAACATGGGAACACGTGACCCCAGCATTCATTTCTGTATCATTCAATTGCTAATGTGCCAAAACAGTTGATGAATACAAATAAGGGGACTGGAGGTATGCATTTAGTGATATTCATATCCTAACTACATTTGCATTCTTATAAATTTTCAAATAAACCATCCATTTCAATGAGCAAGTAAGTCTTCACCTCAATTTTATCAGAAGGAGCGGGTTCTTCAGTTCTACAGTGCTCTCTGACTTATCTTAGCTGCACTGTACGTTAAAGCTTAGAATGTAAAGTATAAGAGCTTTCTACCACTATAGTTTCATCTATAAGAACTTCACTTTCCCTGAGGGGTGACCTGAATTCAACAAAGCACTAGTAAGGCAGTGCTGCTAAAAAAGGGACTATGAATCCCTAGTATTAACTTTCATGTTTAACCACAAATCTATCAGCTACGAATTATGTTACCTACATGTACATGTACTTGCTAGTAAGGTTCTTTTTCATGCCTTTTCAATGCAATCAGAGAGAGCGATCCCTCATTCCCTGCATGAAGCAGAGACGTGATTTTGCACATAAAACTTACACACACCTTTACAGGTACGTTTTATTATTGGTATTGGAGTAGAATGGGAACTGAGGTTCCCAAAAATGCTCATGCTAAAGATAACATTTCTGTGACCTGAATGGGTTTCATTTTTGTGTCGCAATTTTTGTGTCGCAATACACCCCAGTGAGCCTTGCAGCTCACTGGGGTGTTCTTGAACAGTGCCTTGCAAAAGTATTCAGACCCTTGCAAAGTTTTCACTTTTTGCTTTAAAGCTTTTAGCCATGACACTTTGAAGTAGCCGTTAATATTTGTTAAATATACATACTAGTCCAGACATTCAAAGCAAAAAGCAGAAAGACGCAAATACATCATTTGAAATAAACATGGAAAAGTCATGATTGCATAAATTAAATGAATTGCTTAAATAAAATTAGGTGCAGAAAATTACATTAATAAACCTATGTCTGTGTACAGTACTAGTGGTTCACGTGATTTCAGAATGAATACAACCTGGTCTCTTGTAATGCAGGTCATGCATTTCAAGCAAAACTCAACCATAAACACCAAGGAGCTTTCAAATCAACTTGGTAATATATTACATAAAGGCACAAATTGGGAGTAGAATATAAAAACATTTTGAAGTTTAATGCAGTATCTCATTAAGAAGTATAAGACACACAGAACCTGCCTAGAACCAGATGTCTCTCCAAACAGAACATACTGTACAGGCAAGGAGGAAACTGTGAGAAGAGGGAAGTCACTGTGAGGCCTATGGCAATTTTGAAAGAGTTACAGAGCTCAGTGGTTAAGATGGGAGAAAATGTAAATGGGTCAACAATACCCTGGTATCTCCTCAAAGAAGAGGAGGAACTGAACAAGATCAATCTCAAATCCTGCAAAGCTCCTAAGTGATACTGTAAACACATGGTAAAAGGTTTTGTAGTCATACAAGATAAAACTGGAAATATTTTGGCCTAAATGCAAAACTGATGCAAATCCAACACGGTCCATCACTTAGTCATGACCATCCATACTGTCAACTATGATAGTGGCAGCATTATGGAATATTCATGTTTCTTATTACCATTGACAAAGCTTGTCAAGACTGACAGGAACATACAGTAGATAGGGCAAAGTACAGGCAAATCTTAGAGGAAAACGGCAAAAAAAACTTGATACCAAGTCGGTGTGAAAAGTTGGTAGAGCCTTACCCAAAAAGACATGCAGATGTAACTGCTGCCAAAAGAGATGCCACTAAATATTGAGATCACTCATATGAATGCTTATGCAACATGCACAATTTCAGTTTTTCTTTTCTGCTTTTGCTGACATTTATTGTAACTTATGTTGGCCTTAGATGTCTTCAGTTGAGAGAACTCGGGTTTTAAATAAAAGAGGTGTATGCATCATTTTGTAATTTCATAATTACAATGGGCCAACTTGGGAATGGCCTGAATAATTTTACAAGATACTGTATATTCAACACTACGGATGCTACCAGCTCATTTAATTGCACAGTAGTGAGAATTATATTAAACTTCACCCATGTTGAATCAACTCTTACTTATATAAACAGTATAGAACATATAGCTGAGAAAGACCACAGAAACCAGCAGCTGAGTGTATAGACATGTACCTTTGGTACAGAAGATACTGAGCACATTATCTTCTGAAACCCACCTTGCTGTCTACTTCATGTCTTTATATTATATATATATATTTCTAAAAATTAGAAAAAATGTATCCCTGAAGTTGTAAACTACTAACTACAGGGTATCCAGTTTAATCAGCAATTGTATATCCATCCATTTTTTTTCTAATTGCTGTATCCAATATAGGGCTGTGGGGGAACTGGAGCCTATCCTGCCAACTAAAAGGTGTAATGCATGACACATCCTAGATGGGATGCCAGGGTACAAACAGACACAGACAGGCATGCACCCACATCAGGGCCCAATCATCTCCTGTCTGTGGACTATGGGAGTAAACCAGAGCACCTGGCAGAAATCAATGTGAAAACTCCAACATTATGAGAAGTAGCATCTTGAGATATCATAACATTCATGCCACAGACCTCACTCCTAACTTTCAAAATTCTTTTGAAGAACAATAACAGGAATACATACATACATAACAGACTTGGACAAGAGGCTTACTTGCAAGAGACGCTTGCAAGACACTACTTTCCTCATTTTATACATTTTGCATTGTATTTAGATTTTTATCATACCATGAAGAACAGCTTTTTGTTCTTCATGAACATTTACTTCCTGAAAATTCTTTCAACAGCAGACTTGCTGATACAAATTGTGCTATACATCATATTGTCAAGCCATTCCACAGTGAAAAGAGCAAAGACAACAGAGCATAATCTGTGCTCTCCCTGGGCACCAGAAGAGATCATGAAAAGATAAGGCTTCAAAAGATGAAAAACCACCCAAAGCTAAGTGGATCAGAAAATCTCTCTTGGGAAATGTAGCACTTTTGTATTAAAAATTGGAGGTCCCAACAGTCACAGATGCACAGAGTGAAGTCCAACTGTGGCAGCACTCACTGCCAGGGTCAAGGACAGAGCCCACTGCTGAGGGTGCAGGGACAGGAGAGACTGAGTGACTCACAGCTGACTACTGCACTGGCTTCTTCAGGGTTCAGCTGGAAAGCTCCCACAAGCGCCCTACTTTGAAAGCATTGACGTCAACTAGCAGGAACTCATACGGCAATTACAGCTACCTCCTCTTACAAATGCAAAGAGAACAACACCAACAAAAAACCTGTCTACAGGCTTGTAAATCTTAATCTGTTTTTTTTTTCCCCACTTTGTGCTAAAACAGGAATATAACACCAGCCTGCAGACTGCTGCTGAAGTGTTAATTACAAGTTTGGAGAAAAAATGTTAGCAACCTTCACATTCATGCGGACAGTGTTCTGTGCTCATGTTACATCTTACTACTGTCAAGGCTGATTATTTAAACACCTGGCTTTCACCGCAATGCTCTCCTCTAGTGCACAGACATTTCTGCAGTACTATTGTACATTGCTCCATATCATAGGAAATTCTGCACATTTTGTGTAAATCTGAGGAATGTAGACATAATAGACACTGAAATATACATGTCACAAATAATTATGGATAAATGCTACCTAAATGGTGTTTTTAACAAAGGTTCTTGAAGGGTAGTGGCAACTACGGTCTCCCTCTTCACTATGTCTTCAATAATCCTCCATGATATCACTTCCTGTAAAAGTAGAAACATGACAAGTAGGCCTCTTGCTCTTGCTGACATGCGTCTTTCTCTCCTACAACCCATCACCACCTTTGCAGCTACCCCTTGGTTAACGCCTCTCTCTGTAAGGGGGTCCTGACATCTACCTCTTGGTTAATACCCGTCTATACTTAATTCAGTCTGTAAGGGGGTCCTGACTTCAGCCTGGTGTTTGGCCCTCAGACAAACTTTACCTCACACCTCAACAAACATTCCTAACTGCATTTTCTTACTAGGTGATGTCACTGTTATGTTAAATTTTAACAACATTGAAGAAATGATTTTTTTTAGAATTTACTGTATCCTAAATTAACACAAACCTTAATTTAAATTTTAGCAAATAACTCTATAAATCAGTCTACCTTTCTTTTTTTTCCCCCAAAACAACAGCAGCTTTTTCAGAAGCTTAACTGAGGTACAGGAATCTCCAGATTCTTTAAATTGTTTGCAAGGGAACCACTGACATGGATTTGTCTGCTTGGAAGCAAACAATAAATAATTAAATATATGATATCAACTTACTCTACTAAATGGCCATAAAGATGTGGTTTATCCTTTGAAAAGCAATCTAATATTTAATCAGAAGACTGAAAATGCAGTACCTATCTTTAAGAAATGTGAAAGAACTGATTTTCCCTACAGAGGGCAATGAAAACCTGCAATGTATTTAAAAATCCTGCAGCTACTGTATAAACCTCACTAGGATGCGGTCTAACAGTAATAATGCTGTCTTTACAATTATACCCTCCAACCACTGCTCAACTCTAAAGAAAGACCATAATTTCTATAATTACTTCTGTTCTGCTGCTGACTCGTTGACTAAAAAGAACCAAGTACACAAAGTTCTGGGCTATGCAAGTGTATTCACACTGTATTCGCTTAAACCACTGTACAATGTACACTGTACTGTTTAAAGTACCAGACATATACTATAATAACAGTCAGCTATAATACACTCCTAAAAATAAAATAAAAATTTGATCCTGTACTTGCTTTAGCATGGCTATATAGATCACTCAAGAGTATTATGAATACCTGCTTAAAATTCACCACTATGTTTTCTTTTTTGGACATAAAAATATAATACTCATCTTTCGTCTTGAAGGTTCACTGTTCTGTGTTCAAGCAATCTAATATACAGTGGTATATGGTTCTAAAGAGTACTGGAAACAAATGGTTCCTGGTGTGTCAGAAAATTTTAGTTAATGACAACTTTCAAAGTTCTATTTTATGCCGGAGATCTAGTTTTTAGGAGCTTTAATATATTTCATAAACACATTCAATTTATGAAGCCGACCCTAGCAGGAACATTTTAAGACTTTTACTTTGAAATGATATAGGGCAGAAGAATCAGTTTCCGTACAAGCTCAGTTCTGTCCTAGAGACTAAGTGCCATTACCTCTTTTAATGGGTTCTTCCAACTGGGCCAGGGATAAACCACAGAACTGAAAAGAAGCAGAGAAAGGCAGGGCAAGTGCAGCCTGTAGTCAGGAGCACTGCTGTGCAACAGATAAGAAGCACAACTGTAGCAATGCAGTTGTATGAAACCCCGGGCCTGGAACCACATCGTTCTGAATGTTTTCATTGTGCTTTCCCCAGCCAACATGAAGACCGCAGCAAAGAATCACAGTTTTTTCACACTGTACAGGGAGGCCAAGTCGTAGGAGATGATCTGACTCTAAATCCTAGTTTTAAAGCAGCAGACTTGAAGTATACTTTTTTTTCCCCCATGATGTAAACAGTTCAAAACAGGTTTTTTTCCCCTTTCTCATTCTTGTGCAATTCCCAGCCCAAACCTCAGCCATCCAAACAGAAGTTTCTTTTTACATCTTTGCTCTCCTATTCGGGGGTGTTGGCAATGGAGTTGGGTGAATCCACTATCGGGATCTTCGGCGCAAAGGCCTTGTAGCTGTAATACTCCACCACTTGCTTCGGAACCTCAGCCAAAACACACTTCGCCAAGGCAGCAGGAGAGGCCTGCGGAACACAACACACAGAGACCCAGAACAGGCCAGGTCACCACACATTAGGCCTATCTAAAACAACATTTACAGCCAGATACCATGTTAATCAGTGTCATTAAAGCATTAAAGTGATGAAGGAACAATGGAAAGCACTGTACCTTTGTCCCATTAAAGCATTGTTAATGTGACAAACTTTTTTTTTTAGTATTCCTTCTTGAAGATAATTGAAAGCTAACTGTTAGGATGTTAGGAACTCGTAACTGTCAGAATGCTTAACATCCTGTTAGCCCTTTTTATTGCTTCTCTCTAGTGTCTAGATAGAAGATTAAAATGATTTGCTGAAGTCACATGTTCAAGCTCAGCATTTTAGACTTTATATTTTAATAGTTCAATCACAGTCTGATGACGATATAATGAGTCAATGAAGATAAAGGTATAGTGTATTTAATACTCTAGTGTTTAGTGTTCACTTGCCTCGCTGAGGACATTAAAGCAGGGCCCAAGCAACCTGTGCTTATGAGGAACGATCCAGAGAGCTGCTCAAGGGTGATGTGCCAGCAGGTGGGATCATACATTTTTTAACATTTGCTCTTCACATTGTATTGCACTGCCCAAGGCTTTATTCAGATAATGGTTGTCATTTGAGGTGTATGTCTAGTTGTATATGAGCAGGGAGACAGGTAAACAGATGACTGAAGGGGATTTTATGGTTTACTCTAGCTAATTCCTTGATAAATCATTAAAAGTTCCAAAACAGAAACAAAGCATAAGATCGAAAGAAACAGAAACCAAGAAGTAGGAAAACCATCACCCTCTAAGCTTGTCATGCAAAAGGATCTTGTTCTGATACGTCTTAGAGATCAGATTCTGGCTCATAATTTAAACTTTGTTACAGAAAGGTTGTTGTCCTGTTTATTTTAGGAAATTCTTATATCCTTTGTTGCAGAATCCTAAGGCTAAAGTCATTCTCTCCCATTTTGGTGTTGTGTTTTTAGAATAGAGACAGATTTCTATATGAATCAGATTTAGTGCTCATTAATGTTTCTACTGCATGACCTTGCATGCAATAGATGACTTATAGGCCTATAATTATTTGGTTCAGTTTTCTCCATTTTAAGGATAGGTATTACCAATTTTACATCTGTCTCTAGAGACTGCTAGTAGATATTTCTTACAATATCATCAGACCCTAGAGATATGTTAACCCTGAGTTCTTCTAACAATTGATACATTTTATTTTGGTAGTTAGTCACAGAGCAGAAAGAAGGTACTAGGCCACATTTGGGTAAACAAAGACAAAAAACATCTTAACCATTGTCAATTAATCACTTGTTAAGTGATTTGTTCCGTTGAAGCACCTCCACGCTGTTCATGAACTATGGCCTCTTAATTAACAGTAAATCCGAGTTAATTGGTTTAACTCTGCTTTGAAAGAAATGCTTCCAAAGAAGTTATGTCTATTGTGTAGCCCTGCAGCTCCTGCTAATAAAACATTTGTGTCTGTTGCCAGGCAGCTCCATCGGAGCCCAGCTTGGAAAATTTGTCGGACATGAAATGTCACATTGCAAAAGGCGTCAGCAATGGATATTAGAATTACGAAGCCAGGGAGGGGTGCCTTTTGAACTCTCTGATGTGTGCAATTTCAAATTATATTTATCCACTATGGCACAGGAAGATGTGGCCAGATTTAAATTAGTCTATGTACTTCAGAGAAGGATTATGAAGGCAATCATTTTTCCTATCCTGATGATATTTAAACCAATGCAGTGTGTACCTGTCACCCAAAAATCCATTAAGAGAGTTTTATGAGTGGAAAAGTGTACTTTAGGGATATGACGATGTTCCACGTAACACAGAGATTTCTTCTAGTGATTTTAATATTGGTTGGTTTATGTTATTTCTAAAGTTATTCCTAAGTATTCATATTGTAGGATGAAATTAAAATTTCAACAGAGCATGACCACTCCCTGAGAGATGCATTTTTTCCTAGTTTTTTATTCATTTTAATATTACTTTAAACATTGAATCTAGAGTCACTTTTTTGGCACTAGTCACATTACAGCCACTATTTAGGCGTTGGCATGTTAAACCTGGAGTGTAATGAGATCATGTAGTGGGCTCAAATGACGAAATGAGCCATATTTGAAACAATCTGGTTTTGCTGAATTGGCATGTGTCCAGGAACTGACCGTTTTGAAGTCCCTGAAGGGCACAAACTGCACGATGTCCCTGAGGACTGGCTCTCCCTTCGGCGAGCGGAGGACCCCATCGTCCCCATCCAGGATCTGCATGTCGGTGAAGTCCGCATTGCCCACTCCCACGATGATGATGGACATGGGCTGGTAGGAGGCTCTGACGATGGACTCGCGAGTGTCAGCCATGTCTGTGACCACTCCATCCGTGAGGATCAGCAGAATGTGATATTGCTGGAATCGGGAAGATTGCTCGACAGTCATGCACACCACATCAAATGGGGTACTGCTTCTTGTTATACAAGCTGAAAATTACCCTTTTTGTGCTATTAAAGCATCTTAAATTTCTACCTACATGGATGTTACAGTGGTTGCAACACATACTGCAAGTAAAACTTCATTTACAAATCATGGAGGTTTTAGATTTAATATCTAAGTCAAGTTTGATTTTTTTGTTACAAAAGTACTAGGAACAACATCAACTTTTTTTTCTACAGTCAGTCCAAACTGGGAAGTATTTTGAAGATCCCCTTTGTTTTTAAACCGTAATATAACATCATCGATTAATTTACAATTGAATTATCCGTTTCCGCTTCGGTACATATCTTAATGTCTATTCTGACAACCAACACAAGCCTTTGAGACTGCACAAATATAGAAGTCTAATAATACATTAGGATCATTCAAAGGCTCATTGGGCTAATTTATCATTCTCATTTCTCTTTAACACATGGTAAGACCTTGTACATCAAGAAATAGCAAATGTGCTCGAAAATACTTTTATATACTCTAGGGGTTTTACTTTTTCATCAGTCATCCTTCTCTCTGGGTGTAGATTAGTTCATTAAATGACTTATTATGGCTCGCTTGGTCAATATACTTTTCCACCAGTGGAAAGCCTATTTCTAGTATTGGGGGTGAGACTCACTGAAGCGTCTTTGGACTTTTCCTCCCCAGCAGCTAGCTTGGCCACCCTGGTGATGATAGGGGCTACGTTCGTTGGGCCATACAGCTGGATTTTGGGAAGGCAGTTCTGGTAAGCCTCCACTACCCCCTGGATACCTTTACATGGGAAATAAGACCGAGATTAGAATCCTGCAAAGCTCAAATCCAAGCATAGTTTAAAAAAATCACTTCTGCGTAAAGTCTAAGAGTGTAATTCAGGGAACTAGAATTTAACACTGGTGATGTAAGGAGCTGGGGGATATTTGTCTTTTTTTCAAGCCAGAAGGTTCTTGCTCAAGCTGAATTACCCACCTCCCATCACCACCACCACTGAAAACAAAAAAACTGTGCTCTTACCCTCACATTCATCATCGTCTGGGTTGAAATTAATGGCAAAGTCATGAGAAACCTGGATGAGAAGCAATCAAAAACAATTACAGGAAAACTGTAGGTCTCCCTGCCAGCAGACAAATGACTTCTGTCACACATGGAGACTCGTACAACTCTCGCATCTCTGCTTGCACATGCAGCTTCCCAACCATCCATCTACTTTCTAACCACTTCGTCCAATACCAGTTGAGCTACTCATGAGAAACTAATTCATCGACTGGAGACGGGGATTTTAGAGGACTTACTGCTTTCAGGTTTTAAGAATCTATACTAGTCCATGCCTGCTGCACCAGTACTTTAAGCAGCTGTAGTTCTTCGCTCCTAAACATTTTGGCTGTAGGAAATGGAGTGTCACCTTTTGCGAAAAGGTTTATTTTTAGCAAAAAGACTGATGTGCATACAATCATATCAGCTCATTTTCACAACATAGAAAGTAATACATTTATTTTGATATGAATAGAAAAAAATATTTTTAGCTGCATTTACATATTTATATAGGAACTAAACACAAAAACTTCTGCTCTCTATGTAAAAACCCTGTCTTGATCAATCACAAGGACCCATTCAAATAAATGGGACAAAGACTGAGGCCTCTTTGTGCTGGATTTACCTGAGTAAGGTGTGGACCTGCACTTAAGGATCATGTTATAATACTCATACTTTCCGCCCAGGCCCTATTTGCTTAAACTTCACATGAAAACTCATTCTTCTGGTCAGGGTGGAATCAATTAAAATAAATAATATAAAATACTCAATTGAATGGGTTAGTGGTGGGCAAATAGAAAAGATAGTTTAAATAGCTCAAGGATCAAGAAAGATAGCTAGACTACCAACCTAAAAACTACAATAGAAAAGTCACAGAAAGCAACTGATGAAGAATAAGAGACAAAAAACATTGGGAAACTGTGAGAACCTTGAATTATGCCAAATGTAATCCTTCTGGAAGACACTTGGAAAAATAAAATAATGATCTATTTTGCTTACCTCATAATTTGGAGGAATCCGTGCACCAAAGCCCAAAGCAGAGAACCTTTTGTCACTAAAATGAGACAAATAAGGAATAATATTGAAACGAGTGGGGGAAAAAAGCTACTCCAGGAAGAACCAGAAAAGAAAACTTGAAAAGATTAAACAGACTAAGAAAGCTTAGCACATACACAACTTTCCGCTTTTGGTTTCAGTGTTCAAGAGTTTACAGAGCTTTTGTAAATTGAAGAGCTATTTTTTGTAATTTGACTACTAATATGGATTTCTCACATTTTCTTATTCTTTTCTTGAAGATTGCATAGAGTATCCTGCATTTACATACCATTACCACACAAAGCAAAATCTCTGAACATAACACTTTGTATTGCATTTATTTTTTACATGAATGCATGGCACAATGAATGTAATAACCGTTACCCATTCCACTGCTGCAGATATATCCTTCCAACTCTACATTGCAAGATACTCTCTAGGCAAGAGTCTAGGCAGCTTCAGAAACGCATTTGCTGTAGTTGGGGGCAACAGTTGGGCTGGGACCCCCAGAATTTTATTTTCTCCCTTTGGGAATGTGTTTTCCTCTCCACTGTATCTAGTGTTTAACTGTTGTGACATACCGTTATATTCTTAAATGCTATAGAAATCTCTTAAGCACTCTTTGGCAAAATGCTGCAAAGGGCGCTATACCAAATAAAATGAAGTTGCACTGCAGCAAAAGTGTTGACCTTTCTAACTTCCCTAAAATCCCTATTTTTTTGAATAAAGGTCATTCAGAATTTAATAAACAAAAGGAAGGCAAATCTTCCATGTTTAATATTCAATTTGACATTACAATCACATTACAAGGAGCAATGCTGGACAAGAGGTCAGGACAAGTTTGTCTTCCTTTCCAACTCAAGTCAGGTTGATTCAGTCACCCTTCTTTAGCAGATTGTAATCTCTTCTGTAAACATTAACCATAGGCTGTAGTATCTATATGCCTAAAAATGAAAGTATATTCTTCTAAATCTGTATGTTCTTACTTGGACAAATTAAAACTAAATCCTGAGGCACAGGCACACAAAGACCAGCACTAGCAACAAACAACTTAGAGCAAGAAAAGTTTGTCAATGGGAAGCTGGGATTCCAGCAGGGACTTCATCTCTGAGTAGAGTGATGGAGGAGATACAGCATGAGAAGATAAAAAAAAAAAATCGCACTCAAGGTAGCTGACAGTACAGGAAAATTGTACCACTAATGGGATTTGAAAGAGCTCTGAGACGTGGGGAAAGAGCGGCTGAAACTACACGATGATCAAATCAAGAGATAAAGCGATGTGTGTCTGGTCGCCTCATCTGTTCTCATTTAAAACAGGATGAGCCGAGGTAAACAAGGCATTCTCGTGGCTGACGGGTTATGTGTCCGTCCACTTGATAGCAGGACAGAAACTCAATTTTAAATTGATCTGAAATTAAGCAAATATGTAACCACATAAATAAGCTTTTAATAATGTTCATAGTGCTGATGAAGAAGCAGCAAAGCAGTAAATAATTAAAGATGAACAGAGTAATTAGTACAGCCTTTTATTTGTCCTTTCATTCTCATACTGCTTTATCCAGTACAGGGTCACAGGGGAGCCAGAGCCTATCCCAGCAATCAACGGGCACAAGGCAGGATCCCCTTTGGAAGGGGTGTTAGTACATTGCAGGGCACAGACAGACAGACACACACGCATCCACACCAGGGCCAGTTTTCCAGAAGCCAAATGGACATTCCAGTATGTCTTTGGACTGTGGGGGGGAACCCAGAGCGCCTGGAGGAAATCCATTCGAAAATGTAAACTCCCTGCAGATAGCATCCCAGGATTTTGAACCCAGGGCCCCAGCACTAAAAGGCAGCAATATCAACCACTACAACACTGTGGCACCCAGCCTTTTTTTCTCTTTAGATTCATTGGTTTGGCTGTGAAAGAAGTGTGCCAGGATTGTCTCCATTTTCCGGACAGCAATGTATCTGTTGTAAAGTATCTACCATCACGACAAGTCTTACCTGGCACATTAGCTGTTCTTTTCAGTCAGGAGCAGCTTTTGTTGATGACCATAGCACACCAACTGCACTGCCATAGAGATCTCAGTAAACGTCTTAACCACATCCCTGATATGTGACTTGTTGATTTTTCCAATCAGCTTTATGATTTATGTGATCTAGCAGGGATTTAAGTACTAATAACTAGAAACACCTGAAATACTCTCCTGGGTACACTCACATGTATCTCTGTGACCAATGTAAACAGAGTGTCTGATAGGATGATTTTTATTAATAGTAACTTAAGTTAATAGGAAGCACATTACAAACTCATTTCCATTTTACCATGCAACTCCCCACCCTTATTAATACAAGATCAGTTTTCACTGAACAAACACTCCATTAGAGAAAACTGCTGACATTTTCTAACCCCATTACTAGAAGCTTCTAAATTAAAGATGTTAACTGGTGATGATTCAAATAATACCCTAGAGTGGGGAAACGTCAATTTTTGACAATGCCCGTTTGTACCTGACAGTTTTACAAACAATTTTCTTATGCCACAGATTTATATCAGCAAGTGTTATTATACAGTATTTGCCATCTAAGAAAATTGCTATCTACAGTTAGCACAACACCATTAAATATTCCCATCGAAAATGCAACGTTCAATAGTAATAAACTCACAGATTAAAAAAAAAAGTATTTCCCCCAGAATTAAATGTGTGAAATGAAAATGAATAAAAATGTTTAATCTGTTTTTTAGTAGCCAAATTTGACAAATTCTACACCGTACAATCTTTTTGCAAACATACAGAGAGATAATAGAAATAGGTGGCACAGTTGTTAGCACTGATGCCTTCCCGGGCTGGGGCCATAGGTTCAGTTCCCAGGGTGCTATCTGTGTGGAGTTTGTACAGTACAGTATGTTCTCCCATGTTCATGTGGATTTGGTCCAGGTGTTCCAGTTTCCTCCGACAGTCCAAAAACATACTGGTATGTAAATTGACTTCTTAGGTGTGAATGCGTGTAGTTTTGTGTCTCTGTGTACCCTTGGTGCCTTCTGCTTGTCAGAATAGGCTCTGGTCATTTTCTAAACTCTTATATTCCATATGGCAATTTCATACAGCACATAAATGTAAACTGGCACATGTCATTTCACATTTGCTCTTTTTGAAAGGACCAAGGTTTACATCAGCCTCTTAATGTAGAAATCCAATGTGCTACTTTATATATATATTTTGTGAAACAGACGTATTTTTTGCACGGAAGGACTTATTATATCAATTTTAAGTTTAAAGAAAAAGGTGTTTAAATTGTAAATATTTAAAAAAAAAACCATATCCAGAATGTAAAATAAAATAGTAATTATATATGTTCTTGTGATGTGGAATGTTCCATTTGAGAGTAAATGTAAAATGTATCAGAGGAAATCTAGTAAGAGACAGTGTTGAAGCAAAAATCAGAGCAAATTTTGCAAAAAGCTTTCTGTTTACAATTCCAAGTCTGCAGGACACATAAAAAGGAAAATATCAAGATCAATAAGATCCACTGTTAACATTTACCATATTGTTGTTTTCTGCACTGGAAAGGATAAATATAGCAAACCAATTACTTGACACCAACAGAAAAACAGAATAAAAACAAGAATATGCAGTACTAGAATATTTTCTTTATGTCTTTATGGATATCTTGTAGTTTCATTAAATTTTTTACCTACATAAAACAAAGCTTGCATCTAGTTCTCTTAACCCTGTTTCAATTCCTAAACATATTAAAGGAGGGGTAGAGAAGTTTGTGTTAAATCGCAGAACATTAACTTCGACTCCCAAATTGCATGTGTGTATGAGATGTATATTCATATGCTTAATACCATTCAACAGTGTTAATTGCAAGATTTTCATTCTCTTTTTGCATATTACTTAGCATTAGAAAAAACATTTAAGGAAGAAATATGCCATATATCTCTAATTATATGAGCTGAGTATATTATATTATCTCTCATATAAATATATCTACTTGTCATATTCATATTAAATAATTATTTTAGTCACTATAAGGAAAGTGGATTATGAACTTAATTTTTTATCTGCTTCTAATACAAATCATGTACTTTCCTGCACTGCCCAGATGGAAATTATTCATCTCTTTATTTGGTTATTTTTCCTTCCTCAGAAGAGAGTCCTTTGTCACTCTTTTGGGTCTGCCAATTTATTTTTAGTCACAGACGTGCAAAAATGGGAAAACGCAAACGTGTGAATTTCTGGATGCCCTCCCCAGCGATGTCAGTGTTCTTAGAATTGTTAATGCAGGAACAGTCAATGAAAGAGCCAAGATAGGCTTTGGAGACATTGGCAGCTTTCTGCTTCTCACTTCCTGCGACTGGGTGAACAGATGGTTCTGTTACTCCGAGCACCACAGGGGCTCCAAAATAACCCTGCAGCTTCATACATTCACATCAGCTGGGTCACTGCTTCTGGTAAATATCCTCCTAGGGACTGGGTCTGACTTCCCTTGGTTGGGTAAGTGACAACACCATGCCTAGCCAATGGGCTGGGACTTTCCAAGGTAGCCTTCAACTGGATGAACAATCATATCTTGCATGTCTAATTGTGCCAAAACTGTATTAAAATACATATGCTGTATACATAGAACTGCAAAAAATCAAATTTGATTAATCAAAGTGTTATTCTCTGTTTCTACAGTATTTGTTCCTGCCCTCCCAGTAGAGATTACTGGCCTCAAAAAATAAAATATTAATAAATGATTGTGAACTGTTATTAATCAGATTGACTAGAGGGTTGAGAATCTACAATTCCATAATCGTTATCTTGTCTCATGCATATTTAATGAAGGCAAAATGCATTTGCTGTGTATTTAATGGACAAAAGCCCATGTGACCAGACTGCATGTGGAAGCCCCCAACCTCATGTTGTACAAGAGCCAAGCAAGGTTGCCTTCAGAAAGGAGATTTCTTTAAAAATATTAAAATAAAATAATTAGTCGGGAAATCACCACATCCATTCCTTTTGCCTGAAGTATCCCAAAAAACTAAATTCTAATACAGAACAATAATGGTTAAACTAAGAAAACTGTAATAAATACAAAAGAAAAAAGTCTACAAGTACAACACACTGCCTTTACACAGCTCAGTAAGACAGACGACATGTAAACAGCCATCTAGCAATCTTCCTGAAAATCCAGAGTTCTTAAATGTGTAAAAATAAGGACACAACATACACACTCACTCAACACAAGAACACACCAGGAGTCTTGATATGACTGAGGTGATAGGGGGCAATAATGAGAAACTCCCGCATGGAGGAAGGTAAAGCAGCACTTGGGAAAGCACAGGAATCTCAGTCATTCAACCAGCCACTCTGTGGAAAAAGAAAATACACTGCAATCATAATTGTAAAAAATCATCTTCAGAGTTAGTTTCAACTCCTGGGTAAATGCAAGTTAAAAGCTGAAATGTAGTGCCAGTCTGGATGCAGCACTGAGCTGAATTTCCACCCAGTGCTATATTGGCACCACCGACAGAAGCCTTGCCAGATACAGGGGTATCAGCTTGATGCTTTCTTCGCCAGGCTGAGAGGGGGAGAATATATTATAGGGTTGCTGCACGTGAGAAGAGAAGCAGATTCTTGCCAGGTATAGATACACAGGCTTCCTCAGTGTCTCATCTTTGCTCTTTCAGCCTATTACTGTAACAAGAACCGACTCTTGCTTCATAACAGTTGAGCTCATCCAGGCTCAAACCTTCTTGGTTCCACTGGACACTTCCTGCAGGCCTACTAATCACTTTCCACTCCATGTGCTAATATGACCATATTTGCTTTCAATGCAACAAGGCTTTAAATGTAACAAGGCAGAAACGGAAAGCATATGTGACTCCTGATAACATATTTGTAGCAGACTCACTTAAACTGTTCCACCCGAGTAAGTTCTTCCCAAAGCAGCAAAAACACCCAGCAGATGCTAAGGTCTCTATATCCATCTTCACACCAGGCTCAAATAAAAGCGGACAGCCAAGACCACACTCAATTGCATAGGGTAAGTAGTTTGCTTCAGAAGAACTTTATGTTTTGCAAAATGCTTTTCTGGTACAGCATACTTGTGAAAATATTAGTGTTAATTATAGACACGATGGAGTTGTCATTTGCATTTTCCATATTTGTTCTATGTTATACCTCCCTTTTAAAGGCAAATAGCATATTGTAACGCTTACGGCCGACAAGCAGTGTGTAAGAGCCGGCGTACCAGAGCGGGTGACGTCACCGCCCTTCCCTGTGATAGCAGGACCACAGCTACTGGGCTGTGGAGAGATCTCTCTTTGGCTCACGGGGCTAGGTCGCTGCAGAGAGACGCGGAAGTCCCGGGTTCGAGCCCCGGACGGTGCAGGGGCCGACCTAATGCGGCAAGGGCGCCCGCCTGAGCCCCCGTTGCGTTACAATATATTGCGTGTTCACCTGACTTCTGGATATAGGATGTTTTATTATTAACAAGATTTATGTTAGACATTATAAAGTAGTTATGATTCATGTACACTGCATACATATCCGTTCTATTGAAATAACTTTTGCGATGTCTCATTTAGCAACTGGCAAAAATAAATGTGAAGCCATATGCATACTGTATATATATTAGTTGGTATGCTGCAAAACTGAAAGGTAACTGGGCTCTGGAATATGCATCACCTGTAAACTGTACTCGAGGGACTGAGAAAGCTAAACAGTCTTAGGGATATTACATTTAATGCAGCTCTGGCCTTTTTTTGGTAAACAGAGTGTGGTTTGACTGGAACAGACTTGGAAAAAATAATACAATTTTAAGGGAAGTCATAGGATAAAAAAGAACAAAATCCTGTAAAGTAAATATCCTGCCATCTACTGTACTGTACCCCCCGCAATGACACCCCATCTGGCTGTATCACAAATAATGTACACATTTAAACTGAATATTCTTAATCAAAACTGCCAGCAAAAACGTCAAAGACAATCCAGGAACCAAAATGTTGATTGCAAAAGCATTCATCACATTTTGGCAAAACTAAAGTAGTTCAGGAGCACAAAATTACTTTGACAAGTCACAAAACTAGTTGAAAGGCCTCCATACGAATGCAATCGTCGTTATTTCAGATGATTACAGAAAAAAGGCACCCGTCTCTGTAAGGTTAGGTAGTGAAACTCAATAAAACAGTCAACAAAGACCAGGGAGTTTTCAAAACAGCTCAGGAATAGAGTTGTAAAATGACAAAGAAGGTGAGAAGAATCTAAAAAAAAAAAAAATCAAAGACACTTAATATCCTTTCAAGCACAGCCAAGTGCATGATTAAGAAGCATACAGCATACTGTGAGAACACAACATACCTGTCATAGTCCTGGCAGATCTCCCCCACAGCTATCAAGGCCTTTAGATACTCATTGGGCTGGTAGGGGTTGATGTAGTGCAATGAGCAGCTGTTTCGGGGATCCCCATTGGAAGCAGTGAAGTCAATGGCTACCTGAAATACAGTGACAGATTGACAGAGGTGCAAGGCTCTCAGTTAGCTATGTCACAGTCTGCCCTTCTCCCTGGGAGATGAAACTGGGAGAACACAATCTATTAGCATCTATTAGCTCATCTTGTCACAGAGCGCATGCATATGAGACCATGAGAGCTTTGAAAGAATCTGACTAATCCTCAGTCACAGAAAACACTTTCATGTTTCACAGAGAGTTGGAGGCATCCCTTTACCTTGTCAACCAGTTCTTCCAAAATATTTTTTTAATAAAAACAAAAAAGATATCTATATCTACAGTCCATATCTGTTTTTAAGGTATCCAAATTTGGGAGTTGCCAACTGCTAGTGAACTCACTGTAATAATACTTGCACCAGCACACTAGAGAAGAAGACAACATACGTGCATTCTCAGAAACATGTACTTTCAGACCACCCCCTGCTTTCCACAACCTGCGTCCACAGTGATGGCAGCAGGACTGATGCACCTCTCAGTGATAATACACTAAGGTCTAATAGAAGATGGGAAAACGACTCCCTTTGAATCCATTCCAGTCATGGAAGAATTTGGTCAATTGTCCGATGTCCCAGTGATTTAGCCCAGTGCTAACATGTACTCTAAGTGGACATAACTTCCTGTTGAACTCCACATTCAGACACTCCCCAAAGCTGCATTTTTAACTGATAATAAAGAGACGGTGTGCCTTGAAGACCACCTGTGTTGTGAGATTTAAATAATTGCTTTATCCCTACTTATTGATCCACCATGTCATGCCACAAGCTGCCTTCAAGGACTTGTTCTCAGATTTTTAACTTGTAAAGGGCAGAAAAACATGATCTAATACATCACCCCTTATGATCAGCATACGGTATTGCTTCCGCAATTTAGTTAGGGAGTGAGGAATCCTCTAGGGTTTATCTAGTAAATTGTAGACTTTAAAATGAATTTAAATTGATTTAGAACTGTTGCTTCCGGCAAATCCATGATCTGCATTGCAATTGGGTTTGGCAGTGTACTGTATATCAGCAGCTGTGAAATAGCATGGACTAATAACATATTATACAATATTTTATTATATATTATAATAATGACTGTCATGGCCATCTCTTGCACAGTGAATCTGAGCTCCTTCCATCAGGTGCTGATTTAATTTAAGGACCTAAATTGAAGTGCAACAGGACTAAGCTATCCTTGATATTTATCATTCATGTATCTTATTTATGTATCTAATGCACTTTTGGTCTAAATTCGTATTTGTCTTTTTAATTGCGAGGATTACTTGAAGCTGCTATTTTATTTTTCTCATCTTATGCATACGTTTCTTAAGTGGTAATGGGTTTATGTTGTGTTAAATGTAATGTGTTATGTCTTTTACTTGCCTGCAAAACAAAGGGAGTATACATCAAGGAAAAACATTTTTCATTAAACAAACAAGATATAATAATAATAATATAATAAACTTTTTTATATAGTGCCTTTAAAGGTGGCTACTCAAAGCGCTTGAGACCAGGACTACATTCATTGTTTTAACAAATGGGCAGTACAACCAAAGTCCATCTTATAACCATTATCCCTCCTTAAATACAACCTTTCCGATTTTCAACACTACACTTATCAGTTTAAATACATCTATACAGCTAGAAACACCCAAACATGCAAAGTAGTTCATCTTAAAGTGACAAATTAAACTAGGCCACCAAGAATGTACATTCCTGTATTCCATGTTTTATTCAGGAGTTAATCCTTATCCTAAAAAACAATGCAGTGTGGTCTGAGAGCTCTGTTGATAAGTGTGGTTGACATACTAAGTATTCAACTTACAGTAAAGTGTATCTGGCATCCTCCCATGATGTAGTCCAAGAAGGAATACACTCTGTGAAGCTGCAGGAGAAAGAACAGAAAACATAGCTGTTTATCCCACCTAGCAGAAAGCTACAAATTCAAAAAAGGTCAATGTGATTGTTAGTGATATGACCACCCGCTTCTTCCAATTCAGGGTCGTGGAAGAGCTGGAGTATATCCTGGCAAGCAACGAGCGCAAGGCAGGGTACACTGTGGACAGGACACCAGTCTGTCACTGGGCATGCAGACACAAGCACAGACACATACAAACTCCACATAAACAGCACCCCAGGTCCAAAACCGAACCCCTAGCCCCAGTGCTGAGACAGCAGTGCTAACTACTGTGCCATAACGCCACCCAATACTATGATAATTGGGTTCTAATTCAGGACATCACTTAAGAGATAGACAGCTCATCTTAGAAGGGTTGGATGACGTGTACAAAAAGAACTAGGGCAATTTATTACAACAAGAACTAATGAAACACCATCAAGAAAATTCAACCTCACTGAACACTCATACTCAGACTATTCAAAATGTAGGGGTGAGGATATTAAAATAGCTTGAATACATTGCTCCTGTCTGGGAAAATTAATTGACACCCACCCACAGTTGTCATGAAGTAATAATCAGACTAGTTTCTCTGTTTTTTCAAAAAACATCTGAAAACAGTCCTATAACATAATAAGGTGCTCAAGGAAACTTAGTTATCTCCACAGGTTCACCTGGCTCAAGATTCAATATTCCAGTGCTGTCACAGCTTTTACAAGATTCCTTGACAATTATGTTTAGCATCAGCACAGAGGAAATATCACAATGCCAAATTATTTCTATACTGTCATGGCTAAACCTTAATATTGCTCTTGGGAGCTCCTTAATGGTTTCCTAGATTCTTCTGGACTCTCTGACAGATGATATTTTTGGCTTTGCCTCAAAGTAAGCTTACATAAGAAGAATTAGAGAGAAGAAAGATCCTATTAAGTCTTGTCCATCTTCTCACAGGTCACCCGCCAGATAACTTCCTGGATTTCATTGTTGCTTAAACTCACATATACCTTTTTTCATGCTGTGCTCCATGGGAAGCCGAATTTCATTCTTTAGCCCTGGGTCTAAGCTGTTGCAAACCGCATACATTATATATCTGAATGTGGAAATGAGTTCTATTTATTCACCTGATCTGTATGTAAATGCTGTTGTGCCACCTTACCTTGAGATCACTGAGGATGACGACACCAGAATTCTTGTAGTTCCTCTTCTTCATTTTGTATTTGGGATTTACACAATCCCAACTGACCTTCGAATACGAAAAGCAAACAGGACAAGTTCATGATCTTATCTATGCAAACAGCATGGAGACTTTATTAAGGAATTTAAAAACAAAATAAGGAAGGGGTTTGACTCATTGAATATAGTTACTTAAGAAGCGTTTAGATTTAACTCACCTTATTTCCTCCCATGACTTTTTGCATCTCTCCAAAGGTAGCATAAAACTCCCCGATAAAATCGTGTTTCCCCCTGGAGTCATAATCCCAGACCAGACACTGAGTGAAAAAGATGCACCCATTCATTTAATGAATTGATCACAACGATAATTTTATCTTTATATGGATTATCAAAAGAAATATCACTTTATTATACATGCAATATATCATATTTCTTTTAAAATAAAAGTATCTGTCTTCTGACTAATGATTAGAAGTTTTCACATCTGATTTTGACAACTGATTCTTCATGACTGACTAATGCACTCCAGGGATTATGACTGTTGCATAAGTAGTAATTAATCTCATTAGTGACATAGCGGACTGCACACCTAGGAACGAAATGATTTATCACTTTGAATGTCAAGACTGATCAAAATCAAGAAGGAAAAATACAAAATGCAGTTTTAATCAAGAGAACAGTGCCTTTTCCTGTACCAGAGGCTAAACTGTGCCGCATTCTGTCTGTGGCATTAACAGCCAACAATTTCTTGCTTACATTTAATAAGCAAGGCAAGATGTTGCAATCAAACATGGTACATCCATGGTGCTTGCTAACCATGAGCCAGGATGCTTTGTCACCATTGATGAGGAGGTCCAAGTGTTATGGACTGAGAAGGTACTGTATGTCTAGTTGCTACAGACTCCAGATCTAGGGACTGATGTCAATCTGACTGAATGGCTCTACACTGCTCAAGTCCTGGGACCTCACTTGCAGCTCCTGTGGCAACACTCCAGCAATATCCTGCCACTGTAAAATGAGAATGTCATAGCTATGTTATGTCATACTTCTACATTGGTAGGATGAGCTGGGGAGAATATTTGGCATCTATGGCTCAAAAGACCAGTGAACTGGAACGTGTTTGAATAGGCTCTATGAGAAAAGTGGGACAGCATTCCACTAGTCATCATGTGCAGCGGCTTCCAGAGGTGGCCACACACACACCACTAGCCTGTGACTTTCATGGTAGACTCCCTGCTCATCAACCCTGTAAGTGACAAATGTTAATCAGCATAATGAATGTATCTATCCCCTGTCTGTTCAACAAAATGTCAGTGCACCTACTACCAAAAGTGCAAATTGTTCTCCCAACTCGTCGAGGTTTTGTGTTGAAAATTACATTTGTAAAAAAGGTGTTCTTCTAAATATTTTAACTTCATTTCTTACTTGAAATTCTGGCTCTTTTAACACTTTTCAAAATGTGTCAGTAAGCAGAATTAATCTGAAGAATTAACCTTAAAGAGGACTGTTAGGTGAAATGAGGTAACATTTGGCTTTATTCTGAGATCATGAGTATAAACTTGACATTAATAATACTTTGGTATTTAGCCAATTTTATTATTTATTTAGCTGGCAGCATTATTCAAAGTGATTTATGTAAAATAATAATCATACTTAAGTTCAATTTCACAGGGCACTGTAACAAAGTTACATAATGCAATAAGTAGAGTGATATCGTGGAGCACGTAATACACTATCTGTAGTACACTATTGATTTTTCATAGCTTCCTATTATGTTTTGTAGTTTTTCTTTTCTCAGTTAATGCATCAGTATTTGCTTTGTAGCAGCCATAGTAAATCCACACTGAAGTACATTTCTATCAGTCTAACAGAAAACCAAAAGAAACTTCGTATGTTGATTAGGTCATCTTCTTTGTGCACAGTCATATCAGAATCATGAGCAATTCATTCAGCATTTCAGAGCAATATGCTAGTCAGCAAAGTGCAGACAGATGTCTCAGTTAGAAGTGAATTTTCTTACTGAGGGTGGCTCCCTGGCAAGAGCATTAGAGTGCTCTGTTCTATCTGGACCATCCGCATTCCTGGGTCACTAAATTACTTCTTGTGTTAACACCAGCCCAACTCTTAATGACTAAACTGCCAATACTGTTGTCTTAAATATTCAAGGTGAACATGAGATCTCACTATCACTGATGGCACCTACAAAACCTGTTAGGACTGATGTTATCCAGCATGAGGTAGATAGACTTGGGCAACAATCCAAAATACTATGCATCAAGAATGCTTTTGCAATACATTTTTAATATAACTTAAAAAAAATGAATAGGGAATAATTCATCCCCTTCCAATGATGTTCCATTTGATTAATTACAAATGAAGGTGAATACAAATTTCAATTAATATTTTTAATCAAAGCTTGAAAGCTCAAACTGAACACCTTCACGGGACAAATAGTCCCATAGAACTCAAATCTGTTGACTGCATCAATATTCAACCCATGAGTCAATACTTGGTGGATGCAACTTTAACAGCACTTACAGCAGGGAGTCATTTTGGATAGGTCTCTGCCAACTATGTACACCAGACAGCAATTTTCAAGTCATGTCACAGATCTTCCATTGGTTTCAAGGTAGGACTTTGACTGGGCCACTCAAGGATATTCATTTTCTCACTTGTTAAGCCAAGGCACAATTTATAACCTATGCATACTGTATGTGCTGTATGTATACAGTACATATTACAAAATTAAAATATTGCAAAAGTAGAAACTGACATGTTAAAGACCTCTATATATGTTAGTATTGTGAGACCCTTGGTTTTATACCAATCAAACAGGTTCTCTTGTATCCTCAATGAGGGAAAGGCACATATAGTAGTAGAGACGGAGGAATACTGGAAGAACAGACCGCTGGGAGAAATGCTTCCCATCTTCTTGGTGACTAATTCTGGAGTATGAGGTTATGAATTCTGCTGTGAGCAGTCTGCAGCACCTGCTGCAGGCTTCCTACCTTCAGCTTCCTGCTCTCGTCGCAGCTGCACAAGGAGCTCAGCGAGACTTTGAAGGCCTCCCAGACAGGGTTCAGGTTGTTCTTGACAACCTGCAAATGGAAAGCAGCAACAAGGGAACTGAAGCACCTGACTGCTCGGCCCTTTCTGCCACCTCTCCTTTCTTAATGAAGATCATACATGGTGGAAACCCAGGAGCTGGGTTATTCTTGATATCGCCGTTCGAGTGATTTCTGCATACATGCAAGTTTTAAGAATAAAGATGACAAGTGACAAAAAACATGCAGAAAAAAGCACAATCAACATTAATATAAGAGACATGCAGTGTATGCCCTTTCTATAGCAGTGGGCAGGACTGGTAGGCTGTCAGTATCCCTACTAAATTCACATTCTCAGCACGTGTTCTAACCACTATTACAGTGCATTTCTCAGAAGAAAGCAAAGATTTAGTCCTGTTTGTTTTCTTTACTATCACATCCTTTTACATCCTCAAAGTCGAGCCGATACAGAAAGGCTGGTAAGTGTCACATCAGAAGCATCTGTCTTCCTGTGGTTTGCTGCAGTCTGCCTACAAAGTATTTGAGAATCCTCTGGATGAACTACTCAAATGTTAATGGATTCATCCAGAATCATTCTGCTCTACTGGTGAGGGATTATTCTTTTGTATGACAAACAATCCCTGCAACACTAAATATTTCCCAAAAGAAGGGCCACAAGAAATTAGGCAGCACAAGAAATAAATAGGCACTAATTATGATGAGTATTATTACATAATTACAATTTACTCTTTTGAATAAAGGCATTCCAAAACATACTTTACATTTACATTGGTGACAACAAGAAATGGCTCTATCTTTGAGTCAGTCATGATTCGGCAGACAGGAATGGTATGCTTATATTAACCCTACACTATCCAGATTCCTTCCTTGTGCCATAACATACAGTATAGCTCAAAAACATTACACACACACCCCTCACCTCAGTTCTATAAACAAGCTGCTCACTTTCGTCATCGTTGATTCTGTAGATCTCCAAAAAGGGATCCGATTTACTGAAGAGATCCTGTAAAAATATTTGAAGAAGTGACTGTATTAACATAACATGGTACTCAATTTAGATAAAAGTTTCACATTTAGAAGTTCTTAATACGTCCTGGATTTTTAAGTCCTGTAGAAAAACAATTGGATTTCTTTGTCCACTTGTTCAATGAGCATCTTCCATGTCCTCTTCAACTGATGAAACAAATCCATTGATCTGGGCTGAATGTTTGTACCCAGAGTCACTGCATCATCAGTACATTCTTGGCTTGCTTCAGCACCCTTCTGACCATGACACAACTTTAGATATCTGGGACATTAACAAGCAATGTGCCCTTCAACCTACAGTAACATCCCAATAGGAATCTCAGCAGATTTGTTATAAATGACACCAGGTTAATGTTTTGGATACTGAGGGTTATAGCTGCAATAGGCCTGCTTAACAAGTACCCTGTTAAGTCATGGAAATAATACATGGGACAAATACAAAGTCTTGACTCTTTAATGTGAATTGCATTTTAATAGCCTGGGCAGGGACTTTAAGATTGAACATGGTAATCAAGGTGTTTTAGGGGCTGTAAATTAAATTCTTAATAAAATAGGCCAGAATATTCTGCAAAAGAACCCAATAAGAATATGGGAATCTAGAAATCCCTTATCTTAATAAAACAGACAAATTGGTCCGACCATCCACTGTAGTACCCCTTCCCAATAATATCACTATTTTGATTATTCTGCACACTGTGGTAAAGAAATAGACTCTCACCTCTGACGCAGTTTGCTCTCTAGCAATTACATGTTTGACATAACCAAAAATAAGAAGATGGTTCTTTGTAATTGCTCACATTGAATATCAACTCGGATATCCATCCCTGTTATTCAGTTACTCAAGGGCTAAACTAATTCTGCAGGGGATAGCAGAGGTTATTATAACCCCCCAGTCTCAGGGAAAAAAAACCTTTTAATGTCTACATTTCTCAGAGCATTAGTGTGATGCATCTCCACAGGGGCTCAGACGATGGAAGAGCAGGTAGTCCCTATCTTGTTGTCACGGCAACGACTTGCCAGTGACATCACAGCAGCCTGATTTAGATGTGCGATTGTCAGCACTTAATCTCTCCACCAGTGTCAAAGGGATTTTTTAAATTAATCATGTTGTTAAAGTCTCACATTGACTATGAGCGCAATTTTGCATATTTTTTAAAGATTTTATTTAGACAGTATTATATAGTAGTTTTTTCTAAAAGGAAATGTCTTTGCCAAAAGGAATTTCTTTGAAATTTTCATAGGAAGACTGCATGTTGAAAAATGTACTCATATGTTTAGTACGTATTAAAAATGAATAAAAACAAGTAGTTGTTAGTTAATAGTTGCTCCTTTTCTTTTCCCTTCCTGCTCCTAATGGTTAATTTTGTTCATCCCTGCTGGAACACTGGTCTGGCAGAGACCATCAGCATTAGCTCTCTCTACAAGCCAGGCCATTCTGCTGTCTACCTGGACAACTTTACACATTTCTTCAAATAAATAAGGACATTAAAACCAACACATCTACCCTATGGGAAACACCTAAGGCATATTTAAATTTCAGCTTTAGAAAAATTGTTGTTCAATATCAACAAAAACTATAATAACAAGAGGCAAAAAGAGTTCATAAGAGCAATTCTTTTTTTTCCCCAGAAACAAAACATTGTTTTCATTCACTGCTCAAAAACATATTAAACTCAGCAGTTACTGCTATTAAAGTTTTGTTGAGAAGACGGTGAATTAATCTTACACTTAAGTATTTACTAAGGTAGGGGAACCTATAAAAATGTGTTCTTTTTAAATAATCTGGACTAGATGGGTACATGATGGAGCTGGAGTTTTAATGAATCTGAAAATTAGCCTGACTCTTCCTTAGATATAGAGTATCTATTGCTCTGAGGAGAGCAGGAGTCAACTGAGCTCAATGTATAAAGCTAGGGCATCGCTCATTGAGAAGAATAACACAGACCCAGAGGACCTCATTATTACTGAATTTAGTTGTAAGAATCCTTGCAAAAATACTGGCTGACAGATATTATTCTACTTACTATTATCAAATCAGACCACACATGCTCACACATGTCAGAGATGATCCTGCAGATATCTGCTGCTTACTTAACATCACAAATTTCCACACATCACAATGCAATCCTTAGAAGCTGAAAGAACGTTTGCCCACAGTGTGTGTTTTTTTAATTGAATGTACTGTGGAGGCTTTTATAAGAGGTTTTAAATGGGTCATCCGTTAGCAGAATGGATTAGATTTTTCCCAAGTCACATTCCACATCTGTTGTAAACAATTTGTATTCTTCTTTCCTCTTTAAATTAGACAGGAGTAATAGGCATATTCCTTTTCACT